GTGAGCGGACCGTCGGTAGGCGCGGGCGCCCCGCGCGAATGTTTTCAAGATAGCTCATCCGGACGGAGCACACGCGACCCATGTGAAATTGTTCATTTAAATTCCTGGAACTGGCGGACGGCCCGCGCGGACGCTCCGCTCCATCTGAAAGCGCTGTTATAAAATATTAAAATACATATCCAACGACATTACTTTTGTTTAACAAAGTGTGTGTTAAAGAAAAGTAACGTCGTTGGATATGTATTTTAATACTTTATAAAGGAAATGTCCTTGTTGTCCAATGTCATATATGATGCTAGTTTTAAGGTCTTTTTGTGCAGAGGTTGTTTTTTTTGCTAATTGACTCAGTCGTAAGTTGTTTTTTTTTCTGTTATACAATTTTAAAATGTTAATGCCTTTTTTTATTTATACATTTTAGAAAATGTCCTGATGATGGGAATAAAATTCTCGAAAGCTTGACAAATTTGAAAAGGTAGTTTTATTGGCCTATGTGGTGATTATTGACTGCATCCTCACTTGAATTTTGAGTTTTTTTCTTATAATATCAGAAATATAATTATCGATTTCAATAAAAAAAAAACGCTAAAAACGTGGAGTGGGCAGTAGTTTATTTACCGACGAAAAGTAACTCCTAGCTCTTTTTTGTCGCTGCGGCTTTACTTATAATCGCCATTGTAATAAAGTTTATACAAAGTTCACTACATACAAACTATTAAAAATCGATAAAATTGTCACTGATGACCAAGATCAGTTAACCTATTAAGAGTGCTCATTCAGCCAAAAGTGTCCGCCAGGTGCATGCGAAAACTACTTGCTTTGTGACGTCATTGTAGTCCTTGTCATGGTTATTAGTCCTTTTAAACACCTTATATGTATGCAGTATAGAAAATTAACTGTATAAATCGTATTAAATACTCGGATAATGCATTTTTAAGAACAACAGTTCCCAGCATCACCTTTTGCAAGCTTTCTTTTTAGAATACTTCCATATTTTGCTTTAAAATAATTAATAAACAATATCGTCAGCACTTAGTAAGCACTTTGTCACAATCCACAACACAGAATGAACGTATTTAGACACTCTATAGCTCTAAAAACTTTAAAGACACCTTTTTCATATTTAAAATTGACAAAATAATTAACTCAAAATTTTTCAGCTGTTATTTTTATAAGTTTACCATAGGCAACTAATAATACACACTGTCATGAGAAGGCTTTGACAAGGACTACAATGACGTCATAACTGTCAGCTGAAGCGCGGGAAGAGGCGAACGTACGTCTTATGAGGATGAGCAATCCTATTAGTTTACCGTTCTTGACTGATGGCTCATTCGTTACTTCCAATAAAATGGCGTCTAATATCACAAATTCTGCTGCAGCCCTTATATGGGTATTACATGTCCTAGTATTCTTTACATAGGGTCTGGATTTTAATGAGTGTGACAGAGAATAATATAAATGACCGGTTGACAGACTTGAGGAACAGCGGGATAAAATCAAAAACGGCATACAGTGTTGCCGGGTTTTTACGTTTGTAGGAAAATGTGTGTTTAAAAATATAAGCTATTTTAAAAACTTTCATGTATATTACTGAAATGATGATAATATATCTAAACTAAATATAATCTATTACAGCTACAGTAAAATAAGTAACTAATAGTGAAAAATAAAGTTCTAACCCTGAAAATGATCAATTACGCGTTTTTCCAGGCAATCGAGCGGCCACATCTGGATTCGGCACAACGATAATTGGTCTGGGCCCGGGTTCTGGAAGAGACGAATTTTTAATCCACATTAGTGGTAATCGATGTGTGGGGAAGCAGCACTGGGGATCAAACACTATAGACCATAATATAATATATAGATATATATTTTTGCTGGTACCATGTAGCCAGTATAAATATTGATTTTATGACAAAATATTTTCCTTTTTATATCTATACAAGGGGGAAGTACCGTATGATCGAAAAAAAACGGCGTCAAATGATAATCGATGATAATTTTGGCGAGGTCAATATTTAGAAATGATTGACTGAAAATTGACATAAAACTTGTCAAAATTAGCACTAATTATAGAAAGATTAGAAATTAGAAAAGTATAGAACCATTTCCAGACACACAAATATATTTCCAAAAAAATATTTTTCTCAAATTTCAAACTACACTACTTGAATAACTAAAAATTATTTTTACTCGATCTCTTTTATAATTATTTGTAATAAGTCAAAATAAAGCTACAATATAATCTTGTAAAACTTTTATTAAAAATATCACAGCTATAAATCTACAGAGAAGACCAGGCTACTAGTAACATAGCAGGTTGCCGGACGAATTTGCGTTTACCCCATTACGTTCGTAATCGAGATTCACTGCCGGCTGAAGTGCGGAAGCGCCTCGTATCTAGTCGGCTGGTCAGGCAGTATGCAGTTGCAGTTGTGCCTGGACGGGTCAGTCGTGACAGACTAGGAAGAGGACGCGAGGAGTGCCAAGCATTTATTATTTTCATTTTAAGTGTTTACCTTCACTTAAGGTAACATTTAAAATAAAAATACTTAAATATTTATTATTTGAGTGTGTTTACAAGCCAAAACTTAAAATAAATAAATTCTCTAAACCCAAAACTCATTTCCAAAATTAAAAAATACATCAATAAAATAAAAAAAAAACTTAAATATTACTCTAAATAAAAAAAAAATATAACAATAAGTGTTCAAAAAGACCACCTTCTTGTGCTAGACAGAAGCCTAGGCGGTCGTAAAATCCCCGTCTGACATTGGCTAACATATTAGGGCTAATAGTTTGGAAAGCCTCTCGTATTTTTACTTGAAGCAGAATTCAGATTATTAGCCCTATTATGATCATACACTTTGGATTTTACATAACTCCACAAAAATAAATCATTGGGAGAAAGATCTGGTGATCTAGCGGGCCACAAAATATTTAGTTCCATGTCCACTAACTAAACGGTTGGGAAAAGTATTGTTCAAATATTCAGGAACAATTCGGGCATTGTGTGCAGGCCAACCATCTTGCTGAAACCAGACATTGTGGAATCTTTCTCCCAATAACTCACTAATCCTAGTGACAATCTGTTGCTGTAACTGTAAGTCCAAATACTCTGCAACAGTTAAATTACCCTGTATAAAAAATGGACCAATCATATGCTCCCCTACAAAACCACCCCGAACATTTAGCTTTTGAGGATATTGCGTGCGTACCTCAAAATATCTGCAAATTTTCCCGAGACCAATATCACACTTGTGTAGGGTTATGACGACTCAATAAAGGAAAACTTGATTCGTCGGTGAAAACTATATACCGAATCAAGTTTTCATCTAAATTGGCTTTTTTCATTACAGATTCACAAAACGCCATACGCCGAAATTGGTCTTCATGGAAAATTTCTTGAGTTTTGCGCGCTTTATACGATCGGTATCCATTCTTTTTAAGAACTCTTTTAACCGTGCTAGGTGAAGAATCTGTTACCTCAGCAATTTGATTACTTGAAAACGTGGGATTTTGATGCGCGGTAGCATAAGTGAACACTTGCTTTAACTCCTCTTCTTCATTAATCAACACATCAGGCTTTTTGTGTTTTTGTGGGGACACGCACCCATGCGTTTCAAAATTATTAATAACCCTTGATATAGTAGGTAAAGATGGAATTGGCCTGTTAACAAAAGTTTGTGGAAAAATTGTTTGTATATCTCGATAAGACCTATTTTGGAAATACCCGAGGGGTAAACCGCAGAGGGTAATTCCTTTTACTCAAATAATTCCTCAGAATTCCTCAGAATTCCTCGTAATTCCTCAGAATTCCTCGTAATTCCTTCGGAATTCCTTGAAATTCCTGGTCTTCAAGGTCAAGGTCAATCATTCAAGGTCTTCCTTGGAATTCCTTGGTACGAACTCGGTAACTCTTTCAGTCTGAACCAGCGTTGCCACCTCGGTTTCGCAGTTCCGCTATGAATTTTCTGGTGATTTTTATAAATGTCTAATGTCTCTATAAGTACTAGATCTAACAATAAAAAGTACTCTTACGAGATTTACGTTTTTTTAGTTAAATTTTAGAACTAATAGGGGATCATGAGGTGAAAATACTGGAAATATGTCGGAACTTACTTATTAAAATTAATTTTTCTCGAGATTTTTTGAAAATGATAGGTACCTAGTTATACTCGTATCTATAGGAAAGGAAATTAATAAAACTTCAGTTGCACGTCATAATACGATCACCAGTAAATTCCATAAGATTACGCATGGTATCATTGATGAAGTGCACCCAAAGTTGTATTAATTTTACACTTTCTGAGTACTGAATAAAAAAATCTTATGAGGGTTTCTTTAAAATGGCGAAATCAGGGAACGTTATAAGTAGATCTCTCGGGGGTGGTTCGGCCGTACTATTGGAATATATTTTAGATATATAATCGAGGGTACAATATTAAATTAAAAGAATATCTATCTAACCTGTAGATATTTGATATTGGGAAATTTTGGAAGCGATTCTAAAACGAAAAACGGATAGTAAAAAATCGCCTGCAAAACGTTTTTCTTTAAATTTAGTACTACCTATTATAGTATTCATGGTTTACTAATGTTCGTTAATTTTTTATAAAGTTGCTTGTAATTCCTCTTAATTCCTGTGGAATTCCTCTAAATTTCTAAGAAATTCCTTGGAATTCATTGGAATTCTTACGGAAATAATTGGAATTCCTAGTAATTCCTATGGAATTCCTTGGAATTCCTGTAGAATTCCTTCATAGTGTACACCATAATTCCTCTGCGGTTTACCCCTCGGAAATACCATTTTACAATTTGAATTTTCTCACGAACTTCGTAAACATCATTATTTTACTTAAAAAATAAATTTTACACGAGAGCTGTCGCGAGAATCTATGTATTCGTTTTGGCTATTAAAACACGAATAAATACAAGTTCTGAAACATTCTTGTCACATATCTACCTATTTTTATTTTATCGCATTATTTCGCCTGCTTTTTATCCGGCGGACGGGTACACACTAATTCGTCCGAGTTCTGCCTATGTTACTACTACGGTGGTCCGGTCTGTATAAAACTTGAACATATAAAAGTTAGGTTTACATATTAAAATTAAACAATTAAAAAACGGTTTTTTTGTTATGAATATTTTCTTCGCCTAAAAACGCGACTCTTCATCCAAAAAGGCAACGTCATCGTCCGGTTCCATTTTTATAAAATCGTCTAATTTCATTTCCTTATTTACACACAAATATTCCGTATTTCTGGAAACAATAAAAATATTTAATACACAACATGTATCTAATAGTAAAAATACATTTAGAAAAACACATGGTACAAAGAAAACAAGGTATAATCGATAGCGGCTCCTATTTCGTTCAGTTCGCGCATCAGGGGGGTGACAGTAAACCGGAAAATTGGAAACAGTTGTGGCGCGGTTCTACCCAGGCAGAAAGCATGGCCTTCTAGACTGTCCTAGACAAAAATCTGAATATTTCTATATGATTTCTGTCAATTTCTGCTACGGAACATTTTTATGCACGTCGGCGTCCTGTTCTTTTGTCGTTTGTCTGTGTGTCAGCGTCAGCTCCCGAGTCCTCTGGCAAGGTCGGGCGCCATTTTAATTTTTGCTGTTTAGATTTGATTGGAAGTTTGTTTCTGATATTTCGGCTGAAATTTATAAGTACAAAGATGTTTTTTAATATAAAGTTCCTTGTTAACACTTTAATAAAGTATATATGATATTAATTACATGAAGAAAATGATGAAATCGACGTTTCTGCGTGTAGTAGGTATGGGCCATATTATATATATAAATAGGTAATATATTAACTGTTTTTATATTTTTTTAGCTTTAAACCCAAGGATCTTGGGATATTCTTTGCCAAGGATTTTTCCGTATCTCTACTTTAAAGACTGATCGGTGATTTTGAGCAACTGAAAGCAAGTTATACAAGGAAAAAAATGATTATTGAAGTATTATTAGCCTACATTAATTTTCTACAAGATGAACAGAAATGCGTAATTATATATCACATAGGTACCTATTATGTATTTTCATAGCAATAATGCTATAAATCTATGTATGTAGATTATTTTTAAAATACAAATGAGGTATTAGATGTATATGTATTATATTTTTTATTCATTTTATTTTTTATACAAAAGTCTTATGTACCTATATTTATGTTTTTTACATATTTTTTTTGATTCCAGGTTTTGTGTGGGTTCCGGTTGCCTTTTTCCTGCTTCCAGTTATTTAGTTTTATGCCCGTGAAGCTGTGAAAACATTTATTTATCTTCAAGTTTCTGTAAGTCAATGCACTCTGTTACTTTACTAATTCACTTTAAAACAGCATCTCTGATATTATTTAAATATTTGATATTGATACAGTAGTTTATTGGATTATAGCTCTTTAATTGTGTTGATTTGCATATTTACATTGTTCTAAATTCCAAATAAATGTTTTTGAGTAATTTTGTTGTATTATTTACTACTAGAAAGAGTAAAAAGTATATTAACCCTCATTTAAACCTCATGAACAGCCCGCCATTAAAAACCGGAAACGGAAATAAATTTCATAAAATTGAAATTGTCACGTCTATGTCATGTCAAATGCCCCAGCCGCCATATCTGAAAATTAGTTACCCAGGCAGCCACGCTGTTTCCATAATTTAACATTGACTTGACATTTCTTCTTGTATTTATTATTTTATGATCGCGCATACCACCTGTGACGTCACTAGGAAAATAAGGAATAAATAAAAAAAATAATGAAAGTTGACAGGAGATCTGCATTTTTTGGGGTTATGGTTAAGTTGTTTATTTTTAAGACTTTTTAGTTCATTTAATTTAATAATTACTAAAACTAGCACTTCCAAAAATATATTTAAAAATAAAAGACAAAAATCCAAAATATTGATTATCTATTAACATGGATTTGGACGATAATAGGTAAGAATACTAAATTTATTTCTATATTCGGTATAAAATTGTTTATTAGGCTTTTAGTTTGCGATGTTTATGGTAAATAATTTTCATGTTCATTGTCTCTGAATTCACATGAGGACAGAGATGAGGGTATCTATGGAAAAGTAACCACAAGAGGAATTGTTACATCATTTAAAAAATGGTGGGAAGTTGATTGTTTCCCATCGAAAAGTAGAAAATGCCAATGCAGATGAATGTATTGTAATTGTGATAGAAGTAATTCCAAGGATGAAGTTTATTATAATTAGTGGAAGTAATTCCAAGGGTGAAGTTTATTATAATTAGTGACCTGTGCTTCTTTTTATATGTAGATGTTTCAGGTTTTGAGAATAAATCGGTTGAACGAAACCCAAAATTTAGAGGAAGTATTTGCATACCCAGAATATGCCTATCAAGGATTATAGCTCAAATTTCCTTTAATGGTAGGAAATTATTCAATGCAAATTAACTTTTTAAGTGACTGAAATATTAAATAGTTTACAATATGGCATATCACTGTAAAAATATATTACTTTTAGGTACAATTAGGGCCCGATACATTTCAAAAAGTAGAATATTATGTTATATCAAATGAGGTATTGTACCAACAATCAATTTATATTAATACCGGAGATTAAAAAATAACAGAATAAATAGTTCTTTTTTTTTATATTACAAAAATAAACTATAGAATACAACAGTATTTAAAAAATTAAATAAGAGTTATGTCCCGGGCGAGATTCGAACTCTAGTCACTCGCTTCCTAGCCTGACTCTTTACGCACTGCTCCACAGTAATTTGCTTAGCGATAATTCAATGACGGTATATAAACAAAAAAACAGGTTTATTACAATATCTTGACGATTTGAACTGGCGCGCGGAGCGTGCTGACCAATAGCGCCTGTTATCACCTGTGACGTAGCGACCAACCTGCGCAATATCATACCTTGTATTCTTTGTACCATGAGAAAAACATACTTAAAGTCATCGTGCATGTCATTATTCAGAAACGGGGTGACATCATCAGGCTCTGTTTTAAAAAAATGTTCCGATTTTACTTCGTTAGTTGCAGATAGACATTCAGCATTTCTAAAATTAATAAATTACATTATTATCATTACATTAGTAAAATACACTTAAAAAACATACAAGTCAACGTGCATGTCATTATTCAGAACCGGGGCGACATCATCAGGGTCTATTTTAAAAAAATGTTCTGATTTTATTTCGCTAGTTGCAGATAGACATTCAGCATTTCTAAAATTTATAAATCACATTATTTCAATATATTATAGTCTGTGAAACGAATAACTTTGAATTTGACAGTTCCCGCGGACTATTCTAGTGTTAATTTTATTAGGTTAGCAACAGTTAGCAACTTGCGGCCATGCTGACGCAATGCCGTCTCTAATAGAACAGCCTCGGAGCGAGATTTATGACGTCACGCTAACATAATTATTCCTTATATTTGACTATGGCTGAAATCGTACTCCATAGTCAATGTAGATAGTTTTAGTGTTAAGAATAATAATTTTAAAAAATATGTGGTCATCTTTTGACAAGTTTATATTAGTTTATTAATTGCAGTAAACATTATGTGGTTTGTGGTATGAATATTTTATATGCAATTTTTTGGATTATATTCGACACTATTTTTTTTTATATGACACAACACTGATGAAGGCTATAATGTTAGCCGAAACGTTTTTTTTAAACCAAAAAAAAATAATGAAAAACCAAATAAAAACTTAATCAGCGTTTTTCCCGAACCTAAATCCCAAGAAAATCAAAAATTTTATAGAATAATTTTACATTATAAAATGACAGCGACCTTTATTTCATAGCCATCGCTGACGCATTTTTTTCTATGATATTGTATTATTTGCAAATATAATTTTTCGAACATTGATACTTGCAAAATATATGTACATATAAATTTTGTGAATGCAAATAATAATACATCACTATTAGTATATATTGAATGTTTTTTGTTAAATTAGATCGATTTTCAAACCCCAAAATTTAAAATATATTTTACATTTTACCCACTATCTTATGTAGCTATTCATTATTCGTATATTGTAAAACATTTGCTGCATTTGAATGGTTCATAGTTTATTTGGCAAAGTATTTATTACCGTAAAATGGGGTGAATAGAAACATAGGGGTGAATAGAAACAAAATTTCTGAAAAAAATCAAATCACGATTAAAAATATTCAAAGTAAAAAGAGTCGACATATCTAATTTTTCTATCATTGGTAATACACAAAAAAATGTAAAAACTATATTTTTATCTGCGGCAGCACTGTTTCTGTCAATCAGCTGATCAATAAATGTGAGATCGATTTATCATCTATTTTGTATGGCGCGAATATTTTATAAATAAAATATTTATTTTTAAAGTAATACTTAAGCTGGTACATGTAAGTTGTTATATTATATGTATTATTAATTATTGCTAAACCTACTTAAATATGTAATAATTATCTGTTTCTAATCACCTTGTTGGAAATAGAATAGATAAAAACCTTAACATCAGTGTGTGTTTCTATTCTCCCGAATAGCAGGTGAATAGAAACACAAAAGTTATTTTTATTTAATATTTATATGCATATTTTTCAAAAATCAAATTATATGTATACGCAAAGAACAAACAAAGACCCATGTTTTAAAATATTCGGGAACATAATACCACATTTTTATCAACCGGTATATCGCTAATAGCCTACGAAACTGTTTCTATTCACCCCATTTTACGGTACTATAAATAGGTATATATTATATTTATTAACTGTATATTATGTATATTTCATATAAACTATATCATTTTTAAAATACAAACCAAAAATACGAGGAATAATTATGTTTTCCATGTATTCTACCACATATTTATTAATCCGTATCTAATTAGCGTGACGTCATAAATCTCTCTCCGAGGCTGTTCTATTAGAGACGGCATTGGTCTAATATTTAGAAATGTCAAAAGCTGATGGCATTTTACTTTTGACAATTATGCCATTTCGTGTTGATTTTTGCAAGAAGAGGAAGAAGTGTCACTTGTTTTATTATTTTCCTTTTCTATTTCACGAAAGTAAAAAGAGTTACCTATCTGATTCATTCAGGCACTCAATTTATAGAATACTTAAAGAATATCAGTAATTTTTTTGATAGAGGGATTTTATATTTGCCATGTTGGTAAAAAATAACGGTCATAATTCAAAGTTATTCATTTTATAGACTATAGTAAAATACACTTAAAAAACATACTTCAAGTCATCCATAGGCAGGGCGTCATCATCAATTTCAATTTTTATAGAATCTAACATGACTTCATCAGTTGGAGATATACAATCGGCATTTCTGGAAACAATAAAAAATTAAATTGCGAAATATGTATCTAGACATATCTGTTTCAATGGCAAAGTTTCAAAGAACTTTTTTGATAATTGTCATTATTCTGAATAGTTTGAAATTCTAAAAAAAAATTTGGCCCTCGACCTATTTTTTTACTTATAAAACGATCGTGATTTTTATTTCCAAGCCAACTGTGACGCATTGTCAGTCGCAACCCTGTGGATTTGTCAGTCTTCTTCACTGAGCTTATTTTATGTTATTTAAATTTTATTATTTATTCTACTAGTGATAGAACAGTTGTAAAAAGGTAGCATATCTCGATTGAAATTGTGGTAGAATTGAAATTAACAGTAACACTATTGTGATTTATCGAAAACGACCGAAAAATAGTTGGTTGTGGCGTGCGGTAGATCTCAAAAATCGAGTGAAATAATGGAATAACTTTTCGCTAGTAAGTGACTATATAATATACATACGTGTAGTAAACGGATCATTTATGAAATTCACTTAAATTAACTAATTGTATATTTTTTCTTGCATTTTTGCTTTTATTTACTACTTGTCAAAGATTAGATATCAAAGAATTTAGATACGTGAATTTGACTTACTTGCTCCAGTAGCGTATCGGATGTTTGTGTTAATAAATAATTATTATAACTTATCTATTTTTATTAGAATTATATATTTTTATAACAATTTTAATAACTAGTAACATTTGTTCACAATGTAAAATAAAACAACAAATTATTGAGTCTACCCCACGTCTACCCTGAATCATAGTTTTACACTTTTTAAATAAAATTAGAACGGCACTGATAAACCGGAATTTAAGTCGGCCATATTTGAGTCCCATCGCCGGTTAGTTTTTTTTTTCATATATTCCTTCCTATCTTTTTTTTCAAAGGGCAGAACCAAAAGATCCTTTTTAGTTTAGTTTAGTCGTATGGCGAGTGGCTAAGATTGCAAAGTAATGGTATTAAGACCATTATCGTTTCAGTAAATTTTTCATTGCCTCTGAAGAATGTATGAAAAATCTTCTATATAGACTGGTGGTAGCAAGGCGGCTGCGGCTTCAAGAATAAAGTGCCTGAGAAAGCCCTCCATGATGAGGCGAAACGTCGCATAATAAAAAAAAAGTTTCCATTTTTAATTAATAAAAAAAAACCTCATACCCAAGAAAGGGAAAAAAAATATATATGGATATAATAATAATGTGTACATTACATACACAATATATTACATACACATTACATGTATGTATTAACACATTACATGACAACAATGACTGAAATAGTTGGCTATTTTGATTTTGCTCGTTTGGTTGGCAATAAATTTAAGAAATTAGAATACTTATCGGCTGTTATCACTCATATCAGCGTCCATATAGCGTCAAAACAATCCAAAATTTAAATAATAATTAACTTCTTGACGATAAATTCGTTTTCCATAATAATATAAGACTAAAAGAAATAAATGGATTTAATGATATTAGCAATATCATTAAAAATAATGCTATTTCAAAAACGACTCATTTCCGTTTAAATCGATACAACTTTATAGTTAAAATATATTTGAATCACCCTTTGAATAAGAAGACTAAGGAAGGAGCATATCAAAAATCTTAGGTCAACGGCGATGAGCCTCAAATATGGCCGACTTAAATTCCGGTTTATCAGTGCCGTTCTAATTTTATTTAAAAATATCAAACTATGATGTAGGGTAGACGTGGGGTAGATTCAATATTTTTTTTTTATTTTACGTTGTGAATAAATAATGTTGGTAGTTATTAAAATTGTTATAAAAACATATTATAATAAAAATAGATAAGTTTTAATAATTATTTATTAACATCCGATACGCTACTGAAGCAGGTAAGTCAAATTGACGTATCTAAATTCTTTGACATCTAATCTTTGACAAATAGTAAATAAAAGCAAAAATGCAAGAAAGAATATATAATTAGTTAATTTAAGTGAATTTCATAAATGATCGGTTTACTACACGTATGTATATTATGTAGTCACTTACTAGCAAAAAGTTGTTCCATTATTTCACTCAATTTTTGCCGAGATCTACCGCACGCTACACGAGAAACTATTTTAGAGTCTTTTTCGATAAATCGCGATAGTGTCACTGTTAATTTAAGTTCTGCCACGATTTCCATCTAGATTTACTACCTTTATACAACTATCAGTAGTAGAATAAATAATAAATAACATAAAATAAGCTCAGTAAAGACTGAACAAATCCACAAAATTTCAAATCAAATTCAAATGTGTCAAATGAATCGTCAAACAGAACTGTCAAGGATCCCCACCCTAGAGTCCTTTTTCCGCCCACCATGGAAAAATACATGGATAGCATTATGCTCCTTCCTTAGTCTTCTTATTCAAAGGAATCACCCGGTGTATGAAAATATGTTTTATGCTCTACTGTAGCCTGCATCTTTTACAAAAAAATCGGAATTAAAATATTAATTAAATGAACTCTCATATGGAACTTATTCAATATACTGGGTCAGCTTGTATAGAACAGGGTTAGGTGTATTATACAGGAAGTATACATATATGATTTAGGTATAATGCTTAAGGTTAACAATAATTTTACCTGGAATCAATATGACTACCCTCGATGTGATCTTGTAAACTCTGATTTGACGTATATTTTTTGTGACATTGCGCACAAGGAAACCACTGTCGTTCTTCCCGTGCCAAGTGAACTTTCTTGTGTTGATTAAAATATGATATATTTTGTGTTTGGTAGCCACAAATGGAACATTTATGGATATTTTTCTGTCCATCCTTTGATCTAAAATAATTTTTAAATAGTTGTCTTGTAAATGTGTAAAACAAATCTAAAAATTGGTAGTAGTATTTTAACAAGCAAGGCAAAGATAAATGTAGTTGACTTGCATTGTAAGTAGGTTGCAATAGAGATGGTTTCGAAATTATGATAGCTGTTATTTTATCTATAAAACTATATGGAAAATGATCATCATTTAAAAGTCTACTGAACGCCATTTTTTCAATTATTAGTAATTAATTCGTAATTATCCTGTTAGTAATTATTCGATTATTAGTAATTAATTATACATTAATTTCGATTATTATTATAATACATATTTAATGCCAATGATGGCTATGATTTGACCCATGTGACGTTTGAAAGCCACATATGACACATCTATAGACCTTTTGGTGCGATTCGTTCAATTTCTTTAACCTAATAAATATTAATATTAAGCATTATTGTCTATCAGAAACAATCTATTTAAAAGGCAATTCAAAAATCAAAATAATAACGTTTATAATATAAACTTGCGTGCATAGAAATCGGCCCACTGTAAACTTTTGACTTTAACTGTGTCTTTTAGAATCTATTTATCAGACCAAGAAAAAAAAAGAGCTGTTTCAAAGACAATTTAACATGCTTTAATATGAGTATAAACTTATCCAAAGTACTTATCGATTATATGCGTACTAACGGGTAAACAAATGAAAGGCATTTGTGTTGTGGTGACAATAAGAACAAAAAACTTATCAAATATTGCAATTACTACTTTACTGTTACTTTGTAATCGAAATTTGCATACATTGTTCTTTCATTGTTTGATTTATTGTGTTTCATTGTTTGATTAGTGTTTCAATTTAATGCATACATCACGGAAAAAAGCTGCCAAAGTAATAGCTTTAATCGAAAATGGACTTAAACAGTGAGCTGGAGCTTGGCAACGTTTCGATGAGTGTGTGAACGATATGAGGAGACTCGATCATTTCGTAGGCGACCTGGAAGTGGTAGAAAGAGATATACAACGGATCGTGATGACCGCTTTATTGTGTCAACAATATTAAGAAATCGGTATCTTAATGCTATTCAGGTGCAACAACAGCTCCGTGAAACACGAGGAGTGATTGTTAGTCAGAGGACAGTAAGACGAAGATTGAAGGAAAGTAACATGACCCCCAAAACATCCGCAATTGGTCCAAAACTTACCCCAGCTCAACGTCAAACACGCCTGCCTTTTGTACGGAACATCTGAATTGGACACTAGAACAATGGGAATCTGTTTTATTCTCAGATGAGACCAGGATATGCCTCTATGGTAGTGACCAAAGAAGAAAAGCGTACCGGAGGCCAGGTGAGCGATTCGCAGAATGCTGCATTGAGGAGCGGATTGCTTATGGAGGTGGTTTCTGCATGATCTGGGGTACAATTTCTATGACTGCGCGAACCGACCCTGTTTTTATCCGTTGGGACGACCGTCGGCACGGGAGAGGAGGTTTAACTGGTGCTAGGTATATTGAGGAGATTTTAGCAGTTCATGTGGTACCTTACGTCGACTACATTGGAAGCGAATTCACTTTTATGCATGACAATGCGAGAGCACACACATCAAGAATCGTACACGATTACATTTCAGAAGTCGGTTTTCGGGTTATGGAATGGCCAGCATGTAGTCCAGACTTAAACACGATAGAACATTTATGGGATGAGCTAAAACGAAGGATTCGTGCTAGACAAAGAGCCCCAATCTCTATCCCAGAGCTCATTGTTGCAGTATAAGAAGAGTGGCTTAACATACCGCAAGCAACAATATCAAACTTGATTGAATCTACGCCAAACTGTATGGGAGATGTTGTAAGAGCAAGAGGGGGTCATACCCATTATTAAAAATTTATTTTAGTTAATTGTCAATAAATAAATAAATAAATAATGGCATACATCTTAGTAATAAAAAAACGATAATTTTAATCCAAAGAAACCGAAATACAAATTAATATCTCTAAACTCTTTTCAACGAATATAAAATTGTCTTGCAGTTATAAAATAGTGTTGCATTTAAAATAACGAAGTTTTTATGTAAAATAAATATTTAAAATAGACCAGCAATTTTTGATACCTCTGTATACATTTAAGGAAGCAATACATCTTTTTAGTAAAGTTTATTTCTCTGGCTTCAAAGTCGGCACAAGAATTAACTTTGAAAATTGATGTACAGGGTGTTGACAAACTTTTTTGTTATAGCATGCATATTTAAATTTCTTTAAATATCTCAAAAACCAAAACTTTTAGACATATTAAACCCTTATAATAAATGCCTTATTTCATGTCCAAGAATCGACAAATAAAATAAAATACCGGGTGTTTCGTAAGAAAAAATATAACTTTGGTATGGATCTTAGTTCTGACACACCCTGTACATTTCAAAGTAATTTGAAATTACGCACATTGCCTTCCCACAATATACCCATAAAATATTTTGTTACTACATCTTTCCGTTTTCGTATAATCCTTGTTTATATATTCTTAAAGTTGTTCAACCGCCTAGACAAAATGTGCTGCCAACTGGAGGACAAATCGTGAACCTTTCGGGGCGGAGTCAAAAATATCGATTATTTTCGTTATTTTCCTCAGAGTAAAGTAATAATATAGCCTTCGGGTTTCTGAACTTTTTAATAGTGATCAGCTGATTAAGAAATTTAAACGAAACTTTTATTTTATTGTAAATTGTGATTATTATGTTCAGTTATTTTAAATTTCCAAATCGTATTAATTAAAAGAAATTATTATGTCGATATGTTGGTACATTATTTATAATTTTATGATAATAATTAATTGCTGTTAATTAATATTTAAAAAAGTTACAGACCCTATTTTAATTTGATTTAATGCAGGTTTATAAAAAGAATTATTTCATTCTTTATTATTATTCATTGATTATTTTATTCTAAACTGAAGGTGCTTCTACGAATTTTACGATATTTTGGAAACATAAAACTTTTACATTTTGATGCCAACTAATCTGGCATGGTATTATTGGTATGGGAATTAGCCAAGAAAAAGAAAGGAATTGGCTATAACTTGTAATTTTCGAAAAACATATTATACCTATATCGCCGAAAAGTTTAAGAATGGCGCTTTTTATGAAGTCATGGCCAACCAGGATTTCCATTTTAAAAACATAATGTTTAGGTCATATGTCAAAAATGATATTTTGAAAGAAAAACAGAAAACAAACTCATTAGGTATGTGATTATCATTAACTTTATCTGAAAACTTTTTTGTTTAAAATAATGTATGATCGAATACAAACGGCGAGCGGCGTCAGCGATGGATTTATGAAATGACGATCGATGATATTTTCCCATATAATTTTAAATATAATGACAACGATCTTCATTTCACGTAGCCATCGTTGACGCCGTTTTTATTCGATCATACGGTAGATATAATGGAATTAGAGAGAAGTTTTAAAATAGCCAAAATTTGTTTTTTTCGAAATATCTAGTAAACCTTGAACTCTCTCCGAAAAATCCGAAAGGCGCATATTTATGACCTCAATAAAAGCGAAATTTTCCCCATTTAACAGACTCTCTATCTCCAGTAGTTTCCGAGATACACATGCAAGGAACATCGTAGAAATCATCCTGTATATATTTAGAAACTAACTATTATTTTTTATTTGACTAGATTAATTTGATTAATAAGACTCGATAAATTTAATTCTAAAATAGAATTTTCCAGATTTTTTTTTCGTATATTCTACTACCAGAAAACCAAAATTATATGATAACGCACTTTTCAACGAAGTTGAAGGAATATATAGCGTATCTGTGACAATACTTAATAGAATTACTAATTACTACAATTAGAAGAAAAACAACAAGAAAAGACCCAAATATTACCTACTTCCATTTTCATCATACAAAATAAACGAATATAATCTTCTTGTAAAACACACACAACTACTTCTTGTATTTTACACTGCAAAACTTATAAACTTCATTAATTAATCAAACAAAAAGAAAAATACCCAAATTATCCCTTCACCTACTACTTAACTACAAAATAAATAAACTATAAAAACACTACTAAACTATTTCTGGTATTCTACACTAAACATTATAATTAAATTTTATAAAATTAATCTAATTTTACACTACAACCACTATAACTACAAAGAAATAAGAACATTTTTTTAAAACTAGAAGAAACAGAACCTCGATACGTGCAACCAGTATAATAGATCAAGCGGACAAAGAATATAAAATACTTTAAAAATGTGCATTCAGAAAGAAAAAATATCTCGAAAATTATCTAAACAAACATTTTTTTTTCTTATCAGTGAAAAGCATCGGCCTTGCGGAATTTGTCGGGTATTTACAGTGGGCGAATTGTATAAATACAAGCTTTTAGAGCATATCTAATAGATAAAAAGTATCTGGTCGATTAGTAACCAATTGGCACGGTCCAAAAATTATCGATTCGTATTTTCTCTGTTTTTATTGGTTGCTTTAGAATTTAGAGTAACAAAAAATATTTTTCTGTAGTAAAAGACTGTGAAATACGCCCCGCCATCTGGTGCTTTACATCCATAAACGTCTTAGGTTGAGCTACTTTAAAAATTCATATACAAGGGTATAATCAACCGAGGCGAATGAGACGCGCCGCCCTGTATATATGATTTTTTTTTACATCCTGTAACTTTAAAGCTATACATTTACGCACCCATGTTTATAGAAACTTTTTTTGATGAGGAATCACTCAATATTTATTTAACACTTTGATCAGTTAAGGACATTAAATTTTTTTAAAGGTTGCTGTTAGATTTGGATTAAGGCAAATTAATAAAAATGCGTTTATCTCATCAAGGAGATCAAAATCGACAAAATATCAATATATAACTTTCAATCGGCATACACAATTTTGCTAACCTAATTTAAAAGCTTTTTTAGCACTAATAATTTATTAATATGTTGCACTTATAGTAACTTTTACCCTTGTATAGTCTGTGAAACGAATAACTTTGAATTTGACAGTTCCCGCGGGCTTTTCTAGTGTAAATTTTATTAGGTTAGCAACTTGCGGCCATGCTGACGCAATGCCGTCTCTAATAGAACAGTCTCGGAGCGAGATTTATGACGTCACGCTAGTTAGATACTACGGATTAATTATGTTGTAGAATACACGGAAAACATAATTATCCCTCGTATATGTAATTTTTGGATTATATTCGACACTGGCTATTTTTCATATGTCACAACACTGATGAAGGCTATAAACGTTTGCTATAACGTTTTTTAACCAAAAAATATAATGAAAAACCAAATGAAAACTTAATCAGCGTTTTTTCCGAACCTAAATCCCAAGAAAATCAAAGAAAATTTTAGAATAATTTTAGCCATAGCCATCGCTGACGCCTTTTTTTCTATGATATTGTATTATTTGCAAATATAAATTTTTCAAACATTGATGCTTTCAAAATATACATATAAATTTTGTGAATGCAAATAATAATATATCACTATTAGTAGATATTGAATGTTTTTTGTTAAATTAGATCGATTTTCAAATCCCAAAATTTAAAATATATTTTACATTTTACCCATTATCTTATGTACCTATTCATTATTTGTATATTGTAAAACATTTGCTGCATTTGTATGGTTCATAGTTTATTTGCCAAAGTATTTATTACTATAAATAGGTATATATACATATTGTATTTATTAACTGTATATTATGTATATTTCATGTAAACTATATCATTTTTAAAATACAAACCAAAAATACGAGGAATAATTATGTTTTCCATGGATTCTACAACATATTTATTAATCCGTGGTATCTAACTAGCGTGACGTCATAAATCTCGCTCCGAGGCTGTCTATTAGAGACGGCATTGAGCTGATATTTAGAAATGTCAAAAGCTGATGAAATTTTACTTTTGTCAATTATGACATTTCGCGTTGATTTTTGCAAGAAGAGGAAGAACTGTTACTTGTTTTATTATATTTTCCTTTTCTATTTCACGAAAGTAAAAAGAGTTACCTATCTGATTCGTTCAGGCACTCAATTTAAAGAATATCAGTAACTTTGGATAGAGGGATTTTATATTTGCCATGTTGGTAAAAAATAACGTTGAAAATTCAAAGTTATTCATTTTATAGACTATATATATATTTTTAAAGTAGATCAACCTAAGACGTTTATGGACTAAGACTACTAGATGGCAGGACCGGTTTCCCTACAGAAAAATATTTTTTGTTACTCTGAATTTTGAAGCTACCAATAAAAACAGAGAAAATAAAAATCGATAATTTTCGGACTGTGCCAATTGGTTACTAATCGACCAGATACTTTTTATCTATTAGATATGCTATAAAAGCTGGCAATTATACAATTCGACCATTGTAAATACCCGACAAATTCTTCAACGCCGACGAGGCCGATGTTTCTCACTGATAAGAAATAAAAATGTTTGTTTAGATAATTTTCGAGGTATTTTTTCTTTCTGATTTTTTCATTTTAAAGTATTTTATATTCTTTGTCCCCTTGGCCTATTATCCTGGTCGCACGTATGGAAGTTCTGTTTCTTCTAGTTTTAGAAAATGTTCTTATTTCTTTTTTCTTTGCAGTTGTAGTGTAAAATTAGATTAATTTATTAAGTTTAATTATAGTGTTTAGTGTAGCATGTTAGTGTAGTCTACCAAAAATAGTTTAGTAGTGTTTTTATAGTTTATTTTGTAGTTAAGTAGTAGGTGAAGGGATAATTTTGTTATTTTTTCTTTTTGTTTGATAAATTAGTAATCAAATTGATAATTTGTTCAGTGTAGAATACAAGAATAAGTAGTTGTGTAGTGTTTTTAAGAGATTATATTCGTTTATTTTGTAGTTGAGTAGTAGCTGAAGGGGTATTTGGGTATTTCTTCTTTTTGTTTTTCTTGTAATAATTGTAGTAGTTCTATTAAGTATTATGATAGATACACTATATCTTCCTTCAACTTCGTTGAAAAGTGCGTTATCATATAATCTTGGTTTTCTGGTAGCAGAATATACAAAAACAAAAACTGATCAAATTTATTTGAAATTAAATTAATCTAGCCTTATTAATCAAATTAAACAGTCAAATAATAACAATAGTTAGTTTCAAAATACTATACAGGGTGAGTTTCCTACGATGTTCTCTATGGGCATCTCGGAAACTACTGGATATAGAGAGTCGGTTAATGGGGAAAGAATTGCAGTTTTGTGGGGTCATAAATATGCGCCTTTCGGATTTTTCGGAGAAGTTCAAGGCTTATTAGATATTTCGAAAAAAACAAATTTTGGCTATTTTAAAACTTGTCTCTAATTCCATTATAATCTACCGTATGATCGAATAAAAACGGCGTCAACGATGGCTATGAAGTGAAGATCGCTGTCATTTTATATATAAAATTACCTATATGGGAAATATCATTGATCGTCATTTCATAGCCATCGCTGACGCCGTTTTTATTCGATCATACGGTATTTTAGACAAAAAGTTTTCAGATAAAAGTTGTAGATAATCACATACCTAATGAGTTTGTGTTTTCTGTTTTTTTTTCTAAAGTCTGTCATTTTTAACATATGACACAAACATATGTTTTTTTTAGTAAACCATAGTTGGCCATGACTTCATAAAAAGCGCCATTTTTTAAGCTTTTCAGCGATAGGTATAATATGTTTTTTTCGAAAAATTTCAAGTTATAGTCAATTCTTTTCTTTCTTGGCTAATTTCCATACCAATAATACCATGCCAATTAGTTAGCATCAAAAATGTAAAAGTTTTGTTTTCAAAAAAAATATCGTAAAATTCGTAAAGCACTCAATTTAGAATAAAATAATCTAAGAATGAAATGATTCTTTTATAAACCTGCATTAAATCAAATTAAAATAGGTATGTAACTTTTTTTTAAATATTAATTAACAGCCAATTAGCATTATCATAAATTATAAATAATGTACCAACATATCGAAATAATAATTTCTTTGTTAATACGGTTTAGAATTCTTAAAATAACAGGCAAAAATAATCCACAATTTACAGTAAAATAAAAGTTTCGTTTAAATTTCTTAATCAGCTGATCACTATTAAAGTTCGCAGATATCCGGGGCTATATTATTACATTACTCTGAGGAAAATAACGAAAATAATCGATATTTTTGACTCCGCCCCGAAAGGTTCACGATTTGTTCTCCAGTTGGCAGCACATTTTGTCTAGTCGGTTGACCAACTTTAAGAATATTTAAACAAGGCTTTTACCCTCAAGATTTCATTCGAATCGCTAAAAGCATTTGGATGAAAATTATAATAAATCGAAAAAGAAACGAAGCAGAATCTGATATGAAAAAAAAATCTTATTTTTACATAAGAAATCTCCCCACGAGAGATGGCAAATGTTTTTTGAAACGCCCTGTATATGATCAATGTATTACACAAAATATATTTACCTGGAATCAATATGATTGTACTTAAGGTGACGTTGTAAGCTTTGTTTTAATGCATATTTCTTGTCACAGCGTATACAAGCAAATAACTTTGGTTTTGTCGGTTTTCTGAAACATCCTGTATAATATGATCAATGTATTACACAAAATAAATTTACCCGGAATCAATATGATTATGATTAAAGTGACGTTGTAACATTTGTTTTGTTGTATATTTTTTGTCGCACATTACACAATCAAATAACTTTCGTTCTTCCAGTGCCAAGTGAACTCGCTTGTGTTGTTTCAAACATGTTATATTTCGGGTTTGGTAGGAACAAATGGAACATTTATGAATATTTTTCTGCTCATCCTTTGACCTAAAATAATTTTTAAATATTTGTCTGGTAACTGTGTAAAACAATTCTAAAAAATGGTAGTAGCAGAGAATAGGTACATTAAAGAAATGCTAACTTCATGTTAAAAAATGGAAACAGACGCCACCTGGTGTAGCCTGGCAGTACTAGCTAAATGGAGGGGAATTGGAGGGGCGGGGCTTAAAAGAGGGGAAATTTTTAAAAAAATATTTTTATAAGTATCACTGATTTACTGTTTAAAGTTAATAACATATTTTTTATTACTTTAATATAATTTAAAGTATTAAAAAATATGTCTATTAACTTTACACACCAAATCAATGATATTATTAAAGACTTATCATAGTAAATAAATTACACATTTAGTAAACAATATCATTTATTTTTTAGAGCTGCGATTTATATTACAATAATATTGAAATATACAGGGTGAGTTCCCTAGGATGTTCTCTATGGGTATCTCGGAAACTACTGGAGATAGAGAGTCAGTTAAATGGGCAAAGAATTGCAGTTTTGGGGGGTCATAAATATGCGCCTTTCAGATTTTCGGAAAAGTTCATGGCTTACTAGATATTTCGAAAAAAACAAATTTTGGCTGTTTTAAAAATTGTCCCTAATTCCATTATAACCTATTTTAGACAAAAAGTTTTCAGATAAAAGTTGTAGATAATCACATCCTTCAAGAGATCGTGTCCTCCGATTTTTTCTAAAGCCTGTCATTTTTGACATATGACACAAACATGTTTTTTTAAATGGAAACCATAGTTAGCCATGACTTCATAAAAAGCGCCATTTTTTAAGCTTTTCAGCGATATATACAAGGTTTACAAAAGAACTTATGAACTTATGAGAGGCACTCGAAGAGGCGGAACAGGAGAAGTTTAATTAAGTCGACCGGTCGTTCTGTGACAAAGCTAGAAATTCAGTTTTAAAAAGATGCATTTATGTACTCAAAACAATTGCGGATTTTTTGAACATTTTCTAAAATAACTTAAAGTGTAGGTATTGATTATTTTTTAAGCTTTAGTTTGTGTAATGTAAATTGTAAAGAGCCGTTTAATAATATATTTTGTCTTTTAATAAGTTATAAATCATAACAAAATTAGAACACCATTGGAAAATGTTGCCTAAAAACTTAAGTAACTTTCACTGGTCAAAGTATCTTGTATGGTGAAGAAAAGTTAGGAGTTGCGCAGTAGTGAAATACCCCCAACCCCCCAGCCAGACTTAGGATTCCGGGTTCACCAGTTAATAAACTATACATTTTAAGTTATTCTAGCTTGCCTAAAATATGTTCTCTAAATATGTCGTCAGCTCTTAGGCTATAAGTAATGAAGTAAGGCATAATCTATGCAATACAATGATTTATTTGCAAATAATGTATATTCTTTGGAATATGCCCATTAGGGCGGGGCATATTAGAGCGGGGCTAATTTCGCAACTATATATTACACAAAATAAATTTACCTGGAATCAATATGATTCGCCGTAATGTGTAATTTTAAGGCTGGTTTTGTTTTATATTTCTTGTCACAATGTATACAAGCAAATAACGTCCGTTCTTCCGGTGCCAAGTGAATTTGCTTGTGTGTTTTAAAATATGATATATTTCGTGTTTGGTAGCCACAAATGGAACATTTATGGATATTTTTCCGTCCATCCTTTGACCTAAAATAATTTAATAAATATTTGTCTTGTAATTGTGTAAAACAAATCTAAAAATTACAGTAGAGGGTTGGAACCTTTGGTGTTACACAGCAAAATAAAAACACTAAATCACCACAATACACCAAAACACTTTTATTTTACACTGGACGCGCGTTTCGCTAACCATGTTAACATCATCGGCAGATGATTATAAACTAAAGTACAATCTACAAGTTGAGCGTTTATATACTCGCTCAGTGGGCACCGAGTGGGCGTGGCAAAATCTAGCCAACCGAGTCAGAGCCAACTGAGCGTAACAGTTAGATTTCCGCCACTAGAGTAGAGGAACAAAGAACTTGAAAGAATTGGACCGTTGTCTCTGTTCATACTATCTTTACATTTATTAATTCTGATGGTTTCATATGCATCTAATTGCCTGTAATTTGAGACTTGTTTAATTAATTTTAAATTATTAAGATCTATACAATGTTCTTTATCAACAATATGTTCGGCAACGCAAGATTTATCCGGTCTACCATATCTTATCTGAGCTAAATGTTCTTTAAATCTAGTTAATATTGATCTTCTAGTTTGCTCAACATATTTCTGATTACAATCTTTACAAGAAATTTCATAAATACCCGACCTTTCCAGTGGAGGTGTTTTATCCTTTGGATTACCTAATAATTGTTGTAATATAGTATGAACAGAGACAACGGTCCAATTCCTTAAAGTTCTTTGTTCCCACTACTCTAGTGGCGGAAATCTAACTGTTACGCTCAGTGGGCTCTGACTCGGTTGGCTAGATTTTGCCACGCCCACTCGGTGCCCACTGAGCGAGTATATAGACGTTCAACTTGTAGATTGTACTTTCGTTTATAATCATCTGCTGATGATGCTAACATGGTTAGCGAAACGCGCGTCCAGTGAAAAACTAAAAGTGTTTTGGTGTATTGTGGTGATTTAGTGTTTTTATTTTGCTGTGTAACACCAAAGGTTCCAACCCTCAACTGTAATCTTCAAAATTTCATTCGAATCGCTAAAAGCATTTGGATGAAAATTATAATAAATTAAAAAAAATGAAGATTTTAATCTCATGTAGAAACGGAAGGAAGCAGAATCGGACCTATGCTGATATACATGAGGAATCTCCCCACGAGAGCTGAAAAATGTTGTTTAAAACACCCTGTATATGATCAATGTATTACACAAAATATATTTACCTGGGATCAGTATGATAATCCTCAAGGTGACATTGTAACATTTGTTTTGTTGTATATTTCTTGTCACAGTCTATACAAGCAAATATCTTTCGTTTTTCAGGTGCCAAATGAATTTTCTTGTGTTGATATAAATTTGACCTTTTTAGCGATTGATAGCCACACATGTCACATCTCCAGACTTTTTTCTCAGCTTTTTGCGATCTAATAAAAGAATATATAAATACTACAGTATTGTAACTCTATAAAACAGGGTTCCTCAAACATATAACCTCACATGTCTACCCTGTTATAATTAGCAGACGACTGTTAAAATAACAAAAAATTTTTGTTAAAAAATATAGATCATCAATCCCCCACATGTTGACATTATAGTTGAGAGATTATTACTGCCTTATACACTTGCGTGCATAGAAATCGGCCCAAGGCAAACTTCTGAAGTTAACTATATATTTTTTAGAATCTATTTGTCAGATTAAGAAAAAATATATGCTGTTTGGTTTCTTTGGATTAAAATTATTAAATTAATGCATGAAACAAATTATCGTTTTTTATTACTAAGAGGTATGTTATTATTTTTTTAATTATTTATGGACAATTAACTAAACTAAATTTTCAATAATGGGTATGACCCTCTCTTGCTCTAACATCTCTCATACGATTTGGCATAGATTCGATCAAATTTGATATTGTTTCTTGCGGGATGTTAAGCCACTCTTCCTCTACTGCAACAATAAGCTCTGGGATAGAAATTGGGGTTCTTCGTCTAGCACGAATTATTCGTTTTAGCTCATGCCATAAATGTTCTATCGGGTTTAGGTCTGGACTGCATGCTGGTCATTCCATAACCCGAAAACTGACTTCTGAAATGTAATCGTGTACGATTCTTGATGTGTGTGCATTGTCATGCATAAAAGTGAATTCGTTTCCAATGTAGTCGACGTAAGGTACCACATGAACTGCTAAATCTCCTCAATATACCTAGCACCAGTTAAACCTCCTCTCCCGTTCCGATGGTCGCCCCAACGGATGAAAACTGGGTCGGTTAGCGCAGTCATAGAAATTGCACCCCAGATGATGAAGGAACCACCTCCATAAGCAATCCGCTCCTCAATGCAGCATTCTGCGAATCGCTCACCTGGCCTCCGGTACACTTTTCTTCTTCGGTCGCTACCATAGAGGCATATCCTGGTCTCATCTGAGAATAAAACAGATTCCCATTGTTCTAGTGTCCAATTCAGATGTTCACGTGCAAAACGCAGGCGTGCTTGACGATGAGCTGGACGTAAGTTTTGGACCAATTGCGGGTGTTTTGGGGCGTCATGTTACTTTCCTTCAATCTTCGTCTTACTGTCCACTGACTAATAGTCACTTCTCGTGTTTCACGGAGCTGTTGCTGCAGCTGAATAGCATTAAGACGCCGATTTCTTAACATTGTTGACACAATAAAGCGGTCATCACGATCCGTTGTATATGTCTTTCTACCAGTTCCAGGTCGCCTACGAAAGGATCGAGTCTCCTCATATCGTTCACACACTCTTCGAACCGCTCCGCGTGTCATATGTAGTTGCCGAGCTACAGCTCTCTGTTAAGTCATTTTCGATTAAAGCGATTTCTTGGGCGGCTTTTTCCGGTGATGTATGCATTAAATTGAAACACTAATCAAACAATGAAACACAACTAATCAAAGAATAAAAGAACAGTGTGAAAATTTCGATGACAAAGGTAGTAATTGCAATATTTGACAAGTTTGTTATTCTTATTGTCGCCACAACACAAATACCTTTCATTTGTTTACCCGTTGCTATACATATAAACGATAAGTACTCTGGATAAATTTATACTCCTATTAAAGCATGTTAAATTGTCTTTAAAACAGCTCATATTTTTTACTTGCTCTGATAAACAGATTCTAAAAGACACAGTGAAAACCAAAAGTTCACAGTGGGCCGATTTCTATGCACGTAAGTTTATTTACCCTGCATGTGTGTTCCTGTTTCTTATAATCTTATATTCAGGATAAAAAAGACAGCACGCTGTCGCATCAAGTAAACGAATTAGCCGATAAAAAGTCAAAGTAAAAAAGTAGCCGTGGCAACAATGTGACGTGCATTCGTCAAATATTTCAATGACGTGCACACCAACTTTTATTTCCTGCCAGAAGCCATTACTTCCTGCGTTTTCACACTTATTACGTACGCCCTGTATTGTATAAATAATGTCGAGTACTAAACCAATAGGAAGATTGCAAAAATTGTAGCATATATGTTTTGGTCAAATGCGTAAAAACCTAATATATAGTCTATAAAATGAATAACTTTGAATTTTGACCGTTATTTTTTACCAACATGTCAAATATAAAATCCCTCTGTCAAAAAAGTTACTTATATTCTTTAAATTGAGTGCCTGAACGAATCAGATAGGTAACTCTTTTTACTTTCGTGAAATAGAAAAGGAAAATAATGAAACAAGTGACAGTTCTTCCTCTTCTTGCAAAAATCAATACGAAATGTCATAATTGACAAAAGTAAAATGTCATCAGCTTTTGACATTTCTAAATATTAGACCAATGCCGCCTGTAATAGAACAGCCACGGAGCGAGATTTATGACGTCACGCTAGTTAGATACTACGGATTTTATTTATTTTATTTTATTTCATTTTACTCATTACAAACACCTATTGAGGTTGCTACATGTAAAGGCCTAAAGGAAACAAATACAATTACAATTACTTAAAACTAGACATGTACTTCATGTTTAAATTAAAATCCTGAAAAGGATGAAGTTTTTCACCAGCAGAAACATCTAATAGACATATTAAACCAAAAACATATTTTTTTTATCCAGCAGACAAAGTATGCCACATAGAGTTAGTAATTAATCAAAGCACAAACATTTAGAAAAATATACTTACAGTTCAATCTTGTTATCCGATGATCCATTTATATTTTCTTCTGAAATATTTTCTTGTTTAACATGTTCCACACTTATTGATTCATTATTAAAAGCAGTATCTGTTGGGCTGTAATATTAAATTTCAAATTATATACTTTCTACAAAATATCAACTTGTATTTATCCTACAATAATATATGTAATTCCACAATCATTATAGAGTAAATAAACGTAAAGAGACACTATAAAATATAGTAAGTATTTAATTAGATTTGCCTACAGAGGCTATAGCATTAGCTTTGGGAATAATCGAATGATAAACCATATTTGAGCCTACTCAAAAAAATTATCTCAAAGCATATTTAGATAATGTTTTTGTGAGTTGTGACATGGCTCTGCATTCTGTGAGTGTGAATGAGATAAATATTTCTGATCGTAGATGTCAGATTATTGAGTATATATTAGAAATTGGTTTAATGATGACTTCCGAAAGATGGGAGATCATATCAGTTTTCTGGGTGCTTTGAAAACCCAATACCATAATACTGACATCATTCAGGAGTTCAATAATTATAGAAGACTGTACAAAGAAGCCATCAAAACAGCGAAAATGGTGACAATAATAACTGTATCCATTCTTCAACTAATCAATCAAAAGCATTACAGAGGTAATAAATAATAATAGAGGCAAAAAGACTAAAATCTTAAAAATGTAAATATAACTTCAAGTGATTTTAACGACTACTTTTCCAACATAGCAAAAAATATAGTAGAGAATATTCCCCAATAAAACTTTGAACCACTTAACTATGTAAACAAATTCAAAGCGCCAGCGGTGTTTACAAAAAATAACTTTTTTATTTTTTGTTTTCTTCTAGTGGCAAAAAAGCCAAAAGTGTTTTCAAGAAATGAACCCGCCACAAGGGCGTGACATTATTTACATCAAAATAGTTATCATCAGATGCTAAACGTATTTTGTCGTTTCTCTGGTGGATTCTGTCAATTTTTATAATAGCTAAAAATTTATTGATACCTATTTTTGTCTTATATATACATATAATTGTTTTTGTAATATAAAATAAAATATTATATTTTATATTTTTAATAATTTTATCTTAAATTTTTAACTTGTTTAAAATATTACCTACATAATAAATATATTGTATATTATTTGTCCATTTTGTTTCTGAAATGTAGGATAATATTACCTACTATATTTGTTTCATATTTGAATTAAAATCCTGAAAAGGATGAAGTTTTTCACTAGCAGAAACATCTAATAGACATATTAAACCAAAAACATATTTTTTTTATCCGGCAGACAAAGTATACCACATAGAGTTAGTAATTAATCAAAGCACAAACATTTAGAAAATATACTTACAGTTCAAACTTGTTATCCGATGATTTTATATTTTCTTCTGAAATATTTTCTTGTTTAACATGTTCCACACTTATTGATTCATTATTAAAAGCAGTATCTGTTGGGCTGTAATATTAAATTTCAAATTATATACTTTCTACAAAATATCAACTTGTATTTATCCTACAATAATATATGTAATTCCACAATCATTATAGAGTAAATAAACCTAAAGAGATACTATAAAATATAGTAAGTATTTAATTAGATTTGCCTACAGAGGCTATAGCATTAGCTTTGGGAATAATCGAATGATAAACCATATTTGAGCCTACTCAAAAAAATTATCTCAAAGCATATTTAGATAATGTTTTTGTGAGTTGTGACATGGCTCTGCATTCTGTGAGTGTGAATGAGATAAATATTTCTGATCGTAGATGTCAGATTATTGAGTATATATTAGAAATTGGTTTAATGATGACTTCCGAAAGATGGGAGATCATATCAGTTTTCTGGGTGCTTTGAAACCCAATACCAAATACTGACATCATTCAGGAGTTCAATAATTATAGAAGACTGTACAAAGAAGCCATCAAAACAGCGAAAATGGTGACAATAATAACTGTATCCAATCTTCAACTAATCAATCAAAAGCATTACAGAGGTAATAAATAATAATAAAGGCAAAAAGACTAAAATCTTAAAAATGTAAATATAATTTCAAGTGATTTTAACGACTACTTTTCCAACATAGCAAAAAATATAGTAGAGAATATTCCCCAATAAAACTTTGAACCACTTAACTATGTAAAAAAATTCAAAGCGCCCAGCGGTGTTTACAAAAAATAACTTTTTTATTTTTTGTTTTCTTCTAGTGGCAAAAAAGCCAAAAGTGTTTTCAAGAAATGGACCCGCCACAAGGGCGTGACATTATTTACATCAAAATAGTTATCATCAGATGCTAAACGTATTTTGTCGTTTCTCTGGTGGATTCTGTCAATTTTTATAATAGCTAAAAATTTATTGATACCTATTTTTGTCTTACATATACATATAATTGTTTTTGTAATATAAAATAAAATATTATATTTTATATTTTTTAATAATTTATATCTAAAATTTTTAACTTGTTTAAAATATTACCTACATAATAAATATATTGTATATTATTTGTCCATTTTGTTTCTGAAATGTAGGATAATATTACCTACTTATATTTGTTTAATGTTTGAATTAAAATCCTGAAAAGGATGAAGTTTTTCACTAGCAGAAACATCTAATAGACATATTAAACCAAAAACATATTTTTTTTATCCGGCAGACAAAGTATACCATATAGAGTTAGTAATTAATCAAAGCACAAACATTTAGAAAATATACTTACAGTTCAAACTTGTTATCCGATGATCCATTTATATTTTCTTCTGAAATATTTTCTTGTTTAACATGTTCCACACTTATTGATTCATTATTAAAAGCAGTATCGGTTGGACTGAAATATTAAATTTCAAAGTATATACTTTCTACAAAATATCAACTTGTATTTATTCTACAATAATATATGTAACTCCACAATCATTATAGAGTAAATGAACCTAAAGAGATACTATAAAATATAGTAAGTATTTAATTAGATTTGCCTACAGAGGCTATAGCATTAGCTTTGGGAATAATCGAATGATAAACCATATTTGAGCCTACTCAAAAAAATTATCTCAAAGCATATTTAGATAATGTTTTTGTGAGTTGTGACATGGCTCTGCATTCTGTGAGTGTGAATGAGATAAATATTTCTGATCGTAGATGTCAGATTATTGAGTATATATTAGAAATTGGTTTAATGATGACTTCCGAAAGATGGGAGATCATATCAGTTTTCTGGGTGCTTTGAAAACCCAATACCATAATACTGACATCATTCAGGAGTTCAATAATTATAGAAGACTGTACAAAGAAGCCATCAAAACAGCGAAAATGGTGACAATAATAACTGTATCCAATCTTCAACTAATCAATCAAAAGCATTACAGAGGTAATAAATAATAATGGAGGCAAAAAGACTAAAATCTTAAAAATGTAAATATAACTTCAAGTGATTTTAACGACTACTTTTCCAACATAGCAAAAAATATAGTAGAGAATATTCCCCAATAATACTTTGAACCACTTAACTATGTAAAAAAATTCAAAGCGCAGCGGTGTTTACAAAAAATAACTTTTTTATTTTTTGTTTTCTTCTGGTGGCAAAAAAGCCAAAAGTGTTTTCAAGAAATGGACCCGCCACAAGGGCGTGACATTATTTACATCAAAATAGTTATCATCAGATGCTAAACGTATTTTGTCGTTTCTCTGGTGGATTCTGTCAATTTTTATAATAGCTAAAAATTTATTGATACCTATTTTTGTCTTATATATACATATAATTGTTTTTGTAATATAAAATAAAATATTATATTTTATATTTTTTAATAATTTTTATCTTAAATTTTTAACTTGTTTAAAATATTACCTACATAATAAATATATTGTATATTCTTATTTGTCCATTTTGTTTCTGAAATGTAGGATAATATTACTTATATTTGCTTCATATTTAAATTAAAATCCTGAAAAGGATGAAGTTTTTCACTAGCAGAAACATCTAATAGACATATTAAACCAAAAACATATTTTTTTTATCCGGCAGACAAAGTATACCACATAGAGTTAGTAATTAATCAAAGCACAAACATTTAGAAAATATACTTACAGTTCAAACTTGTTATCCGATGATCCATTTATATTTTCTTCTGAAATATTTTCTTGTTTAACATGTTCCACACTTATTGATTCATTATTAAAAGCAGTATCTGTTGGACTGAAATATTAAATTTCAAAGTATATACTTTCTACAAAATATCAACTTGTATTTATTCTACAATAATATATGTAACTCCACAATCATTATAGAGTAAATAAACCTAAAGAGATACTATAAAATATAGTAAGTATTTAATTAGATTTGCCTACAGAGGCTATAGCATTAGCTTTGGGAATAATCGAATGATAAACCATATTTGAGCCTACTCAAAAAAATTATCTCAAAGCATATTTAGATAATGTTTTTGTGAGTTGTGACATGGCTCTGCATTCTGTGAGTGTGAATGAGATAAATATTTCTGATCGTAGATGTCGGATTATTGAGTATATATTAGAAAATGGTTTAATGATGACTTCCGAAAGATGGGAGATCATATCAGTTTTCTGGGTGCTTTGAAAACCCAATACCATAATACTGACATCATTCAGGAGTTCAATAATTATAGAAGACTGTACAAGAAGCCATCAAAACAGCGAAAATAGTGGCAAATAATAACTTTATTCAATCTTATCACATCACAGCGGTGAGGTTATCGTATAAACTATTGGAAATTTTAGCGCTGTTGTCAGATGGTACTTATTATCACGTTATAATCGCCCGAATCGAAAAAGCTTTGAATACTTATAAAAAGAATAAAGACATTAACTTAAGAGCCATTATTTATTAATCTCTTCTTGTATTTGCGTCTAGCCGGCCCGTGCAAGTTTACAACCCGCAGTAATGCAAGTAATGCGGTAATAGAAATCAAGCGATGGATTATTTCAGTAAATGGCCGGAATTTTTTGCAATTCCTAACTAAGAAGCATCGACTGTAGTCGAAGCATCGCAATCAAAACACGCGGTAGGCGTGTTATGATTGCGTTGATTTGTCTCTGTGGTGAGTATTTTTTTAAATTGCACGCGAAATAACCGACCGATTATCGTTTATGCGCATGCGGAACTGCGGGTTGTAAAGCTTCATGGTCCGGCTAGATGCAAGAATTAATCTAAAATCGTTTATCGTTTTTTTTTCCCGTAAATATCGTAATTTTCATGTCTTTTGTCTTTTTTTCTTAAAAGTAATGGTCAAAAAGGTGAAAACTGGCAACGCTGCAAGCAGTGAGTACACAACTTTAGAGCCTTGTATCGCCGTTCGCCATCATGCCCTTTCCACTCTCGGGGCAGCTTTTATAGTTCCTTCTCCCGCTACAGGCACACCAAGAAGATTATACTTTTAATGGCCAATTAAAATATAAAACACTTCCGACAATGGACGAATGGATTATTGAAACGTACATGGGAAAGTGCGGATGGCAGGACAGTAACAACTCAGTTACCAAGGAAGATTGCCCAGGTATTGGAAGAAATTCTCGGTGGTAAAACTGGAGCCCTTCTTGTAGTCTTGAAATCTTGTAATCATGGAGTAAACAAGACCTTGAACAAGCTGAGACATCGTTTTTACTGGGTAGATTATTGCGAAGATGTCAAGAAATGATGTCGACAATGTAAAATTTGTGCGGCCAGCCAAGGACCAAGCATTCGATCTAGGGGAAAAATAAAACAATATAACGTTGGATTGTCATTGGAAAGAATCGCTACATACGTTACGTTAGTACGTTTTAGTGGCGATGGATTATAACAGTATATGGCCAAAAGTTTTTGCAATTCAAAACCAAGAAGCATCGACTGTAGCTGATGTATTACTCAATAATGTCTTCAGTAGATTTGGAATTCCCTTAGAACTTCACACTGACCAAGGAAGGAACATTGAGTCAAGACTGTTCCAGAAGCTGTGTGATCTGCTTGGTATCCACAAAACTAGAACAACGGCTTTACATTCGCAATTCGATGGAATGGTCAAGAGATTCAATAAGACCATTGAAGAACACCTCTCGAAAGTGGTGGATGAACATCAAAGAGATTGGGATCAGCACATACCGCTCTTCCTAATGGCGTATACAAGTGTAGTTCACAATACCACAGGACTTCCACTATCGAAGATTTTATTTGGTCGGGAATTACGGTTGCCTTGTGACTTGGTGTACGGATCACCAGACGACAGCACCACAAACGTGGAGAACTACGCGGATGAATTGAAGGAAATGTTATTGGAAATTCATAAGGCCGTTAGAAGTACGATTGCGCTAGCCAGCGACCGGATGAAAGCTCGTTACAACCTCAGAGCTAACTCTACGGGATTTCAACAGGACGATATGGTATGGCTGTATAACCCGCAGCGCAAGAAAGGAAGGTCTCCCAAGCTAACTCCAGCATGTGAAGGTCCTTATACCAAATATCAAGAAGATAAATGATGTTCTATACCGGATTCAACGCAGCCCTAGAAGTAAGATGAAAGTAGTTCATCTGGATCAATTGAAGAGATACCAGACAGGACGATCAAATTTAAGAAGGGGGCAATGTCAAGGTGTATGGCGACATCTGTCGGGAGCGGACAAAGTAGGAGGAAAGAGAGTTCTGAAATCAACGGAAATATCCAGCCAGACAGCAGAATTTACTGGTAGGTCAGTTGTGTATATAGTAAGAAAAATAAATCTGTGTTAAGTGTTATCTAAATGAGTTTGATTAGAAGACCCACGGAATCCCTAACAATATACCTAATAACCCTGACAAGAATAAAGTTTTCCACTAACCGAAACATTTAATAGACATATTAAACCAATTTTTTTTCCTTTATGCGGCATACAAAGTATGCCACGTAGGCATATCAGAAATTCGACATTTGGAAAAATATACTTACAGTTCATACTTGTTATCTGATGATCCATTCATATTTTCTTGTTTAACATGTTCCAAACTTATTGATTCGTTTTCTCTATGGGATTTCAACATGACGATATGATATGGCTGTATAACCCCCAGCGCAAGAAAGGCAGTATCTGTTGGGCTGTAACATTAGATTTCACAGTATTTACTTTCTAAAAATATCAGCTTGTATTTATTTTACAATAAAATTTGTAATTCCACTATCATTATTGAGTAAATAACCATAAACAGATAGAAGAAGCATGTTTAGATAATGGTTTTGTGAGTTCTGATATGGAGCTGCATTCTGTGATTGTCAATGGAGATGAAAGTTTATAAACAACTTTGAACAGTCACGTAAGATATGCAGACCCATTACACAACGAGGTTTAAATATTTTTTTTTAATTTAATAGAAAATACTCCTTGTTAAAAGTGTAAATGCCGAAAACTCATTTAAACAATTTCGGTGCATTTATGACATCATTGAGAAGTTTAATAATTTATAGAAAACTATACAAAGAAACATTGAAACAAATGTTAATTATTCAGTCTTCAAGCAATCAACCAAAAAAGCATAATAATGGCAAAAGATTAAAATACCAAAAATGTAAATACAGGGTGTCTCAGATTTTAATCGGGAAAATTTAATAGACGATAGAACTTGCAAAAATAAAACAAAAAGTTCATATCAACTTGTAAGATCTTTTTTAGAAGTTTAATATTATTTTTGGATTTAGTAATTAAAAATATTATTTTTTTGTCTCCTGACTTTTTTTTTTCAAAAAACACTCCAGGGTGGAGTGAATAAATGAATTTAATTTTTTTCGCAAGAAGTAAGCAAGATAGACAAAAAAGTCAGGAGACAAAAAAATAATATTTTTAATTACTAAATCCAAAAATAATATTAAACTTCTAAAAAAGCAGTGGCGTGCCTATTTTTTCCTTTAAAATAATTTAACAGTGATGCCCCACCGCCGCCCCTGGCCATTAAACTTAAATCTAATTACATCAAATTAAGTTCCATAGTAAGTATTATAAACGGGCCAAGTTATATCAAAATCGATTAAATGGTTTTTCAAATATCTTAATTTTTTTTCTTTTTTAAGTAACTTTAACACCCTGTATCTTGAAAAGGAAGCTTTAAATCTTACAAGTTGATATGAACTTTTTGTTTTATTTTTGCAAGTTCTATCGTCTATAGTCTGTGAAACGAATAACTTTGAATTTGGCAGTTCCCGCGGACTTTTCTAGTGTTAATTTTATTTAGGTTAGCAACAGTTAGCAACTTGCGGCCATGCTGACGCAATGCCGTCTCTAATAGAACAGCCTCGTAGCGAGATTTATGACGTCACGCTAACATAATTATTCCTTATATTTGACTATGGCTGAAATCGTACTCCATAGTCAATGTAGATAGTTTTAGTGTTAAGAATAATAATTTTAAAAAAATATGTGGTCATCTTTTGACAAGTTTATATTAGTTTATTAATTGCAGTAAACATTATGTGGTTTGTGGTGTGAATATTTTATATGCAATTTTTTGGATTATATTCGACACTATTTTTTTTATATGACACAACACTGATGAAGGCTATAATGTTAGCCGAAACGTTTTTTTAAACCAAAAAAAAATAATGAAAAACCAAATGAAAACTTAATCAGCATTTTCCCGAACCTAAATCCCAAGAAAATCAAAAATTTTATAGAATAATTTTACATTATAAAATGACAGCGATCTTTATTTCATAGCCATCGCTGACGCATTTTTTTCTATGATATTGTATTATTTGCAAATATAATTTTTCGAATATTGATACTTGCAAAATATATGTACATGCAAATTTTGTGAATGCAAATAATAATACATCACTATTAGTATATATTGAATGTTTTTTGTTAAATTAGATCGATTTTCAAACCCCAAAATTTAAAATATATTTTACATTTTACCCATTATCTTACGTAGCTATTCATTATTTGTATATTGTAAAACATTTGCTGCATTTGTATGGTTCATAGTTTATTTGCCAAAGTATTTATTACTATAAATAGGTATATATTATATTTATTAACTGTATATTATACATATTTCATGTAAACCACGGGGGTGTCACTTGTATGGGAAAACAGGCAACAGTCAAATTTAAACGTGCCAGGATAAACGACAAAGAAAACAACATCTGCCAGGCATTGGCTTTCTTTATCACTCACATTGCTTAAATCATGATACCGCGGCCATTTTGCCAACAAAGAAGCTGGCCGGCTGTCCTGGCAAGTGATTTAAAACAATTTTGCTTTTTTACAATATTAAATTTCCATTTGGATGTATTTAATGCAATTATTCAGTTAACTGGTAAGTCAGAAATTACACACAAATACTTTATTCGTAAATACAACTAAGATGTAAACGTATTTTTGTATTTTTAGATTTCAACTTTTGCAAAGACCCGCCGATAGAACTTGCCTGGCAGCGTACCTGTTTAACTGAACGTATTATTTCCTGATAATAATATCAAAACACGTAAGTACCTCTATAATTTATGATGAAAAATGATTTTGATTATGTTTTAAGTTATTTAAATACTTTCTAACCTCAAATAATAGTAAGATCCTTGTTTATATCGCACAGCCCGTTCAAAACTGTATTGTCTTCAAAATATGTTTACAAAACAAACAATTATTACAAAATCAATGTCCTTTTAATCTGATTTATACCTTAGAAGGATGCCAGTAAAATTTTATTAAATCAACATTATATTATTTGGCCATTAATATGCAAAAAGGAGCATATTGCCTTAACTTAAATTTTCTTTTATTTCTCTTGTAACAATGTTCTCTATATTCTCTATTTTGAGTTAGTAAACTTTTGAACGGGATGTGCGATATATAAAATACAAAAATACATAATATATCCAAGGGTATGATCTGATAAAAATATTTTTAGATGCATTTTTTGGTTGTTTATGCACATTGGCTTGGTTTATGTTTTATTCAGCTTATATTTATTTGGTATAATAGTTTTTTTGCTTTGGAATGGCATGCATTGAGGCTAGTGTTTCATTAGATCATTAAAGGAATTTAAATTAGCACATATTTTTTGTGATATTAGTGTGTTATTATGATACAACTACTAGGTAGTTGTATCATAGTGCCTTATGCATCTTATTTACCTATTATATACTTATGTATTATCAGTAAATAGATGATAACATACTACTAAAATGTATTTTTAATAGTATGTTTATCTTTCCAATTCACTAGTTATTTGCAAAATGTATTTTGAACTAATTTAAGTCATTAATTGATCATCTTTCTTTTTCAGGTTCCCGGATATTCTTTTTCATTGTTAAAAAAATATAAATATTATTATTATTGCAGCTCTAAAAAATAAATGATATTGTTTACTGAATGTGTAATTTATTTACTATGAATTTTCTCTGAAAATAATAAGTCTTTAATAATATCATTGATTTGCTGTATAAAGTTAATAGACATATTTTTTAATACTTTAAATTATATTAAAGTAATAAAAAATATGTTTATTAACTTTAAACAGTAAATCAGTGATACTTATAAAAAATTTTTTTTAAAATTTCCCCTCTTTTAAGCCCCGCTCCTCCAATTCCCCTCAATTTAGCTAGTGCTGCCAGGCTATACCAGGTGGCGTCTGTTTCCATTTTTTAACATGAAGTTAGCATTTCTTTAATGTTCCTATTCTCTGATGTAAACTATATCATTTTTAAAATAAAACCAAAAATACGACGAATAATTATGTTTTCCATGTATTCTACAACATATTTATTAATCCGTATCTAATTAGCGTGACGTCATAAATCTCTCTCCGAGGCTATTCTATTAGAGACGGCATTGGTCTGATATTTAGAAATGTCAAAAGCTGATGGCATTTTACTTTTGACAATTATGCCATTTCGTGTTGATTTTTGCAAGAAGAGGAAGAACTGTCACTTGTTTTATTATTTTCCTTTTCTATTTCACGAAAGTAAAAAGAGTTAGCTATCTGATTCGTTCAGGCACTCAACTTATAGAATACTTAAAGAATATCAGTAATTTTTTTGATAGAGAGATTTTATATTTGCCATGTTGGTAAAAAATAACGGTCAAAATTCAAAGTTATTCATTTTATAGACTATATTAAATTTTCCCGATTAAAATCTGAGACACCCTGTATAACCAAGTGATTTTAATGACTACTTTTCCAACATAGCTAAAAATATAGTAGAGAATATCCCCCAATCTTTACTTTGAACCACTTAAATTTCTAAAAAAAATCAAACGCCTAACACATCTTTCTCCTTCACAGAAGTGACATTCAATGAGGCAAGATATGTAGTTAACGATCTTAAAAATAAACAAAGCTGCGGTCTTTATGCATTTAATTACAAAATAATAAAAACTATTAGAACGAAATAATTATTTATACCTGTGACCTAATTAATAAATCTCTGTTTTAAACACAATATTTTTCCTATCAAATTACAAATAACAGTGTTTATTCCAACCTATATCACGTTTGTCTATAATATCTAAGATCTTGGGGAAGTCAGTGTATGGCCATTAAAATAACACAATTTTTTTAAACAAATCACTTTTCTCTAAATACGTACCTAATATCAGTTTGGTCATTTTTTAGGTCATTTATGACCCAAATAACTCATTTTGAGTGAAATTAAAAAAACTTTTTTTTTGCCGATCTTAATAGCCTACCATACCTGTTGGTATGGTCGGCTAAAAACATTTTGTTAATCTGCAAATTTGTTTTGATTAAATTCTTATATGTGTATGCAGTATACCGTGTATGCTTTCAAGTGATAAAAAAAGTACCAAATTCAAAGGGAGTTATATCCAAGTAATATCTGACAGACACCTTGTAGTGTAATTGGGATCTAATAAAGAACTACTTTACATTCCTACTTACTTTAAATCTATTACTTCGTCTTTGTTATCCATTATTGTTTCTAATAGAAAAAGATCAGTACCTGAAAGATAAAAAATAAAGCGCGGTTAGTTCAGCTATGCATGAGAAATTAAAATTATAAGGAGTTATCTTGGAGAAGACCAAATACAAGGATGTTATCACCTATTAAACTTAATTCGTTTAATACATATTCAGACAAGTAGTGTTGTCATTTATATTTTATAATACCTACCTAAATAATAAATAATATAGAATCTATAAGTATTTACAATTTACCTGGATAACAAAATTCTCTTTTCTAATTTAAAGCAGTTTAAAGCAATTTACCATCGATTTACAACCTGTGTTTACAACGTTAAACAAGTGCCAAACATGAAATACGAATCAAAATCAAAATTTGCTTGCGTTTCTTGTAGACTCCAGTTTCTTGACAGAGCTGACAAATCTGACAATTGCCTCAAGAGTGGCAAAAAAAGAACAATTTCTACGTCCCACTAGTCAACTCCCAAACCCAACGTTGCCGTTTGTTTTGTATATTCTGTCTTTCTTGGTATTTCCAGTGCAATCTAAACAAAGAAAAACTTACCTCAGAGACAAACCAACGGAATCAAAAAACGCCTACGGCGTATTTGAGTGTACATTTGAGTGCATTATAGGACAGATTTAGTGGATATAATAGATTTTTTTTTTTAGTTTAGTGAACTTAACGTATTATAATTTGATGAACTAGATAGTTTTTTTAAAATTATTTATCAAGTTTTCCTTAGAAATAGAGATCATTCCTACCTATAACAGCCTATAATGTTCAGTATTGTTTTTGCTGAGTGATGTATACCGGTGCGTCTCAACAGTGGCTCACCCCTATAACTTTTTTATTTTTCCAGATAAAAAAACGAGATTTGGTGTGTTAGTCTATGACGTAAATTAGGATTGATTGACGTATTCAATTGTTTTCGATCACTTCCTGTTTCACCGGAAATGACTACAACTTTTGATTTTTAAATAGCACCCTCGGTATTTTTTTACTTTATTCTATAGAAAATGACATTCTGAATAGAATGACATATTATATGTCAACTTTTGACATTCTCGCTTAATAAAAAATTGTATTTTAAAATTCAATCTAGAATGCCATGGATATGGTAAAAGCACTAATTCTTCATCAAGGAGCCTTGGAAAAATATATTTGATCATCTAATGTTTTTAGTGTGTTGTCCTGGTCAGTTAGAAAATGCTCAAATCGTATTTTTAATCACATCTCAATTTTTTCAAATGGAACGAGGGTAGCTCATTAGCCTATTTGGAAAAAGCATTTTTTTACGAATAATTTGATACCACTTGGTATTTCAAGTCAGATTTTCGTTACAAACTGCAAGTTATAATTTTCAAATAAACCATATGCGAAAAGGTCAAAAGTTGACATATGTTATGTCATTCTATTCAGAGTGACATTTGCTATCGAATAAAGTAAAAAAATACCGGGGGTGCCATTTAAAAATCAAAAGTTGCAGTCATTTCCGGTGAAACCGGAAGTGACAATTATCCTTAAGAAAACAGTAATAACGAGAAAAAAACGGATTAATAGTGGGTTAATTCACGCTTTGTTTAGATTTTGCGACACTGACCTTCCGCAACACGACGTCACCACTAATGCAGCGTATTATAGGTGTTACTGTTTACTTTTCACTTTCACCGTTCATAAAATAAGGCGACTGTCTATGAAGGCGACAGCAAACGGCAACATTGTTGGGCATGCGAGTTGACTAGTGGGACGTAGAAGCTATTCAAATGTACCTAACCTATATTCAGATTTGGTCAGAGCCTATATGACCTTGTATGTGTTATTTGTTATTTTTATTTGAACATGATTTGAACAACTTGAACCAGCTAGTTTTACAAGCTACAAAAGTTCTGATAATATCTAAATTATAAACGTATATTAGAATGTTAACATGAAAAATAGCAAAGTAAAGTTTTACTGTATATTTACAATTTCAAAATAAAATGTCTGAAAATGAAGGCCCGAAAGAAAGTTAAGGTAATACCAATTTATTATACAAAATATAAATTATTTATATTTTATAGAGGAAGAAAGTGGAAAATCTCCGGAATGTTTTGTGTTAAGTAACTCTGTATCTAGGACATCACAGGAATTAAATAATATGGATTCTTCAGTGGATAATAAAGTACTGCGAATGATGGTAAATTATGAAGTTTATAAAATCAATCTTAACAATCGTAAAATATTAGAATATCCTTACAGAAAAAGATGGGTTATAAAATCGGCTCAGGATTAGGCAAAAATGAACAAGGTATCACAGAATCGATAAAAATAAACACGAATTTGGAGAAACGAGGCCTTGGACTTTGTATAAAAAACTTTCAATTTTCAAGCGATACTTGGGATTTTTTACAAGATGATATTATAATAGAGGAAAGTGTTAATTGGTTGGAAAATAACTCTACTGTTTGTTTAACAGATCAACATTTTGAGAATTGGTTAACCGAAGGCACAAGAAGACATTCTGTGGAAGATAGTAATTTCTGTCATAAAGATATTTTTAAGAATGTTTTCCAGGCCAAGGTTGAATTTGTTTTTATATTTATATTTCACGTTGTAATATGATACCCTTTTCAGGAAATATTTGATGAACTAGATAATATAGAACTATACAAAGCTAGAACTCGGGCTAATCCATTTGAAACCATAAAATCAGTTTTCTTTATGAATAGAGCAGCTTTAAAAATGGCAAATATTGACGCCGCCACTGGATTTATTTTTACTAATATGGAAAATGAAGTAAGAATTTTTTTATTTATACTTTTATCTTCTTCACTTCATAAACTAAATTGTTTATATAACGCTCCTAGAGAAGGTTTGCCAACCTGTGCCAACCTCTATTTCAGAGGACAGTCTTCTTTTGATTGTACTGTCCTCTTTTCTCTCGCGTATCGAAAAAGTCCTCTTTTTTACACACCAAACTCAAAATCGAAAAAAAGATTGGTGATTGAAACAATGCTTAGTAAAATTGCTAATCTGGCAACAGTATTTTTTTGCTAGTTTTACTCTTTCATACAGAAACAAAATATTTACTTATATACAGGGTGTCCCATTTTGTTTGAAATCATACGGTATCTCCGTTATTCGTGAAGATAGAAGGGTGCGGTTTTTACAAACCTGTGCCACTTTTTCGTCAAATGGAAGATGCTGTCAACAAAATTTTGGTGCTTGTCAGATATAACACCCTTCGAATTTGGCACATATTTATATATCAGTCGAAAGCATACATTTAAATAAGAATTTTAAGCAAAAAAAAATTGCGGATGAACCACAATTTATTGAAAAATAAATAAATTAAAAGTGCATTTTTAGATTATGGTGAAGTTGTATAAGCGTGTAATTATTGTAAAATATGACGATTATATGCATTTTTTATTAATATAAAGGCAGAATTAATCATTGAGAAGCATTATTAAGTCATAAATCAAAAATAGAGTTGGTGATCTTTGTAATATTTGCCTGATCGATTTACTCTTTCGATTCAAACTTGCCGTCGGAGCCGTCTGTCACCATTTGTTGTTATGATGTAAGCTGCGTAAGCATTGTTGCCAAAGTTATTTCTTGTTTGTATGATACATAATACCGTATGATCGAAAAAATACGGCATCCAGTTGGCTTGAAATAGGGTTCCCAAAGCGTCCCGGTTTGACCGGGATTAACCAGGAATCAGAAAGTTTGTCCCTGGCGAAAATTTTGTCTTCCTTGGCCGGGACCAAAAAAAATCACATTTACATATAATATATTTGAAATTTCTAATATGTAATGTTTTGTTTCAATTATTTAAAAAACTTTAAAAATAATTGTCCCGAATCGCCCATGCTCAAGTTGGGACCCTACTTGGAAATGACGACGATGACATTCCCTATATAATTTTACATATAAAATGACAGCGATGTTCATTTCATAGCCATGGCTGACGCCGTTTTTTTTCGATCATACGGTACGTTACATGATACAAAAAAAGAAGTTGAAACCGAAAGAGTTTTGATTGCGCTGGTTTCAACCTTTCGTGAGGGTGTTAGTCTTTGTTATGTTTTTTTTTTATTTTAATACGAATCTGATTGCTTTCACTTGATTTTACGTGCCGGTCGCCGGACGAACAAATCCTCTAACAGTAGCGCTGTCACGATAAGAACAGATTATAAGTTATTTTAAAATCAAGACATTGAAAGCACTCAGATTCGTATTAAAATATAAAAAACAACAGATTAACCCCCCAAAGAAGTTGAAACCAACGCAATCAAAACTCTTCGTGCAACTTTGTAGTTATAAATAGTCAGATCTCGTAGGCAAAATATCAGCTAGGGGTAGGAGCAGTTCTTCAGGCGATCGCCTTTTTCTTGATTTTAAAATAATTTATAATCTGTTCTTAACGCGAGTTTTCTTCCGACCAGCACGTGTTTTTTTAATGAACCTTTCAAGAAGAAATGAATGAATCTGGCAACGCCGACAAAATTTGGAGGAGTTTTCGCATAGAAAGTAGCCTGTTGTAGCAATAATTAGATGTTTTTTTCATTAAATTATGGATCATCCACATTTTTTTTTGGCTTAAAATACCTATTTCGATGTATGCTTTCGAGTGATATAAAAAAAAGTACAAAATTCGGAGGGTGTTATATCTGACAAGCACCAAAATTTTTATAACCCTTTTCGTTTCTGAGCTACAGGGTCTTTTCGAAAATTTTGCAATTTGGGACCGCCCCCGTATCTCCGTTATTATGTATGATATCGAAAAAGTGAAAACTGATTCTTGTAGAACTTTTTACGTAGAATACAGTGGCGTAGTCTGTTTTTCTACGAAAAAAATATTTTTGAAAATATGAACTAAAGTTATGTTTTTTCAAATGGAACACCCTGTATATTTATAAATCATATGATCCGCTTTGATATGAGCTTCTCAAATATATATATCACTCTATATTTATTTTCACTATTTACTGCAATATTTAAAATATATCATTTTCTTATTAGTAGGCCGTGATAAATATCAAAATCAAAATGGTATTTACTAAAATAGACATGCACATATTAAAATTTTATTTGGAATTGATATATTTTACTCTTGAACTGTTACGTCTAAACCTCTAAATATATTTTTCTCTTTTTTATAACGGAATTTATTATAATGGGATGGGTTTGCAAATATTTAAAAGCTTGCATTATTGAAGCATTTTTCAGGTGTTCAACATCGTATTAGTTGCCAATGATATATTTCATATTTCAAAATCCTCAAAATCAGAGATCGAGAACAGACAAATCCGGAATCAGGGAGGCCATCATATGGGTACATTGGTGCCAATTCATTGATTTGAGAAATAATAATTTAATAAAATTCTAATATTTTCGTTGTAAGTTAAGTTGTGAGGGGAAGCCCCATCTTGCTGAAAGTATATTTCACGTAAATTAGCTAAAGGAATATTTAAAAGTTCCGATACGATAGCTTCCAAGATTTACAAATAGCGGTAGAGATTTAAGTTTCCCTAATATATGAAGAATTAATTAGTGGCTCTCAAAATAAAACAAGAGACAGAGAGAAGTATTACTCTTAATAATTCTTTAGTTTCTTTTACAGGGCCTACTAAAAAAATGATCTTTTAATATGTTTTTTTTTAAATATTGCCTTAAACAATGAAAACAAATATATAGTGTTTTATATTTTTGAGAAGCTTATAACAAGCCAGATCATATAATTCATAAATATACAGGGTGTTCCATTTAATAAAACATAACTTTAGTTCATATTTTTAAAAATATTATTTTCGTAGAATAACACACTACACCACTGTATTCTACGTAAAAAGTTTTACAATAAACAGTTTTCACCGTCTCAATATCTTTAACAATAACAGAGATACGGAGGGTGTCCCAAATTGCAAAATTTTCAAAAAGACCCTGTAGGTCAGAAACGAAGAGGGCAATGAAAATTTTGTTTACGGCATCTTCCATTTGACAAAAAAGTGGCACAGGTATGTGCAAACCGCACCCTTCTATCTTCACGAATAACGGAGATACCGTATGATTTCAACCAAAATGCGACACCCTGTACAAGAAATATCGGTGTAGAAATATTGGATTTCTATATTGCAATATAGCAAAATTTGTGCCTTAGAAAGTAAAAAAAGACCATTATCTGTATTACGTTTACATAACTTTTGGGTAAATTCTTGACATGAGCGAGGTTTAAACATTTCTTCGTCACATGCGCGTCGGTATTCATCAGTCAGCAAAATTGTTAGATATCTTGCAAGAGTTTCTCCTAAAATTAGGCAATCAGGCCTCTTTTCAGCCAGTTTAAAATTTTAACTGTACCCTGTATATTTATATTTGAAGTATGTTTGCATGTTTTTGGGAATTATGACTTGTTTGTGACAAATGGCATGATGGCTTTTTCCATAATGGGCTCTTTCACTGTATTTTGGAATTAGCATAACTGAATAAAGCAATTAATTCTAGAATTTTCTGCTATCTCACTTTAGAAAAATTTGAAGTCGTTCTTAAGAAAATAAATAAAAACAAAAAAGCCCAGAATAAAAATCCGCACTTTATTTTTAATACGTCACACCTGGCATGTTGAAAAGCGACAACACGGCCGGGCCACCATGCTGACCCACCACCACCTCCACACAAGGCTATTTTAACCTTTTCCAATATGGCGGAGATAGAAGTGCTTTATTTGGCGCGTATTTTAAAACCTGTTTTATTTCCAAATAGACATTTTCACACAAATGTCGGGTTATATTACATAATATTTCACTATTTTTTAATATACAGGGAGTCTAAAGCTCTCCACATAAGTATGACATTTTTTGTATTATTACTTTTATGAAAACATCAGTTAGTTACTTTTTATAAAAAGGTCTGCTTTCTCAGAAAATAGGTAGGTAGTGTACTAGTGTGTAAATATTCAAACTTAAGGTAGCATATTTAGGGTGTTCAAAATCATCGGAAAAAGAAATAACCAGAAATATATGACAGAAAATAGCAATATAAACTAAATATTCAATTGCAAACACTTACCTACCATAGTTTAGAATTTACTGCATGTTTGATAAATATATACTATTATGGACAGTATAGGAAGTTACTTGTCTTAGTAAAAGCCTTGGTAAATGCTCTTGGTGTAAACTACACTGACTTGGGTCAAAAAATATGGAATATTTTTCCTATGTTTTGCAGCATTACACAAATGGGAATAAATTTAAACTATAATAGGTGAGGATAACTAAAAAATATAATATGTGTTTCAAGATTTTATATAGAAAAAAAACTAAATACCTTTTTATAACGTCATTCCTTTTTTTTGTATAGTTCTTCAATAAAATATTGGATATTATGAACAAGATGGATTTAATAATAAATTCTGACGTATGTGAGGGGCAATTGTGACCTAAAAAAAGACTTACATCCAGGCCATTTATATTTTTAAATGTGAATGTTGTCAATATCTTGTCAGGTAAGTGTAAGCAGTAGCCATAACTACATCCTCACTAGGGTAACAGAGGCTTTGGCCTTTGGCCTTTTTGAGGCATATTTAATGCACTTCTTACCCGAGAACTACTAGTAGGAGTGAAACTATCTCTTTTAATAGCTGTCAACCATTTTTTACGAAGCTCGTCATTTTTGGGGAATATAAAAGCAGAAACCTTGGGGCCCCCTTTATAATTCTCGTGACAATTTGGAACAGAGCATGTAAAAGGTATGCTACAATAAAATGTTAATACATACCCTTTAATACCTTCTAATAATCTTCCTTTAATATCTTTTGATTATTGTAAGTAACCATTATAAAGTACTATGCAGACTGGCGGTGAAAGCTTTTTACTCATTTAGGTGTAATCAGGGGGGTGACAGTGAAATAGGAAAATTGGAAACAGTCATTAGTGTCATTCCTGTCATCTCCTGACGACAAGTATGGCCGTCTAGACAAGGACAGCAATGTTTCTCTCTAACTATTGTCTAACTTCACAGTTTAGAATTGACAGATTTCAGTGACAACTTCAGATTTCAGATTTGTTCTAGAACAAATGGAACAAATTTCGACGCCATTTTAATTACTCTTCGTGTAGTTTTGTTTCATAAATTCAATTTGATATTTCGGCAGAAATTTATAAATATAAAGATAATAAAGCATATAAAATATATATTACATGAAAAATCCTGGAGAAAAAGACGTTTCTGCAGTACTAGGTATGTCCCATGTATATTAAAAATAGGTAGTAAGTAAACACTATTTCTGTATTTTTTAGAAGCAAGAAAATTTTGTTATGTTTATGATCGGCGATTTTTTTGAAAGTGGAAACAATTTACAGCAAGGTAAGATCATTTTTAACTATAGCCAACATTAGTTATCTTCGGTATGTGCGATTTATTGTCAATAATGCAATAAATCTGACTGATACAATCCGATTGTTATCCGACTAAAACTCTTTTTGCTTCTTTTTGATTTATAAACCAGGTCTCTTTGGGAATAATGGACGGTTTTTTTAAACAGTATATTTGTATTTTATACCTACTGATATTTTTATTTGTTAATTTTAGTATAAAAAAATTGTTTTTCTGTTTTCAGGTTTTTGTATAAGGCTCCCGTTTTCATGTTCCTGCCCCCCGTTTTCTGTCCCTGATGGCTGTGAATACGTGTATTTATTTACAAATTACTGTAAGTCATGCTTATACCTTACTAATTTACGTTAAAATTGCATATAATTAAGTAATTGCTGTTGAAATCATTCAATTCTTTATTTTTTATATATATTTAGTCACGTTGTCTCATATTTCAAATAAATATGTTTGAATAAAATTTTGTTTTGTTTTATTTATGATAAGAAAGAGTACAAAATACATTTAAACTGAAAGAGGGCCCGCCCTTGAATAACCGGAAACGGAAATAAATACGAAGCCATCATGTCAACCTGTCAATTGGAAAATTAGTTCTCCAGACGACAACGAAGGCTTTCGGTGGCGTATCGTGTTTCCACGATTTAACACAGAGTTGACACTTCTTTCTAGTTAATTATTTTATGGGTGTAATATCTTGATAAATACTTCTAGTTCTTACCTTAAAATAATTAATAATAGAGGAGTACGACAAGCACAAAAGTTTGAAGTTTACACTGTTATTTTATCACAATTTTCTGATCACACCATGCACTCAACACTAAGAACTAAGCAAACGTGTTGCAGAAGCACAACAAACTAGAGATAATTAATTATTTCTGGTATGCAATCGGAACGAGAAACCACTACCGGCTTTTCAGTTTAAAGGTAAACAATTTAATAATGCGCTGCCTTCGCCGCCATATTTGCCTTGCCCATATCATTTTGATTAGCCTTGAGTTGAGGTGGTGCTGGTCAAATCAAATCGCAATGTTGCCAGTTGTTGGCTGGTGCACGAGCACGGTTCTGCAATATGATTGGGCGTATGTTTCATACGTCATCAATTGGCGCTTTAAAATTATTTCAAATTAAAGCAATTTTGAGGGCCTATAAAAAATTATTCAATGTCATGGAACAATTTTTTTTGGATAAATAATACTGAAAATAGTCTTCTATTTCAGATTTTGTCCTTGAATTGGGTTTTTTATTTTTTCTGAAAGAGCCCATTATCCGACTAGATTTAGGAATGATTTATCTATTCCTCATAGTTGGATAGTTATTTCTAAAAATTGTATTTTAAGGATGGTTCTGAGGAATGGTTTTAAAGAGGGAATGATTTGAGGAACAGTAAAAGTATTCCAATATTTAAAAAAAAATTAAAGACTTTTCTAATCAGTAAATGCTACTACGATGTTGAGATTTACCTTGCTGAGTAAATGGAAAATTCTTTTAAATGAATATTTGAACATTTTTTTAAATGAATATTCTTTTTTTTCTAAAATATTCGGAAGTATTCGAAATTTCTGAACTTATAATGTGGCATTTGGATCAACATCAAATTACGCAACTTTGCTTCAATTTAGCCGACCTCTTATCTGTTCTAGCGACTAACCCCTTGCTGTAAAGCTAAATAAATTAATATGCATAATTTCAACTGTACTTGTTTTAATTTTCAGGCAGAGTTTAAAACAGAGAAAGGTCCGATTTTCTTCGCAGACGTATGTGCTGGTCCAGGTGGATTCTCTGAATACATCTTCTGGAGGAAGAGCTGGCTTTATAAAGGTTTCGGCTTAACACTTAAAGATGAAAATGACTTTAAAAGTATAGAATTTTCAAGCTCTATTAAGTTAATTGCTAGAATTTTGTTTATAGTTACAGAATCCAAGTGCACAACAGCTGTGATGTTTCAAGCTTTATATGGATCTGCTGACGATGGAGATGTTACAAATCCAGAAAACATATCCGATTTTACTGACAGAGTAAAACATGAAACAGAAGGAGGTGTTCATTTTATGATGTCTGATGGTGTACGTAAAAGTGTTTTTGGGATCACTTGCTTATTACATAAGAGTTTTTTAGGGATTCTCTGTTGATGGTAATGAAAATTTACAAGAAGTTCTTTCCAAAAATATTTATCTATGCCAGTGTTTGTTAGCCATAAAAGTTTTAAAACCACATGGGTCGTTTGTTACCAAATTATTTGATCTCTTTACAAATTTCAGTGTTGGATTATTATATTTAATATATTTATGCTTTGAGAGAGGTAAGTTAAGATAATATAAGTAATACTTTTATAAGACAGGTAAATAATCTATCAGCCCAGAAAGTGCGACAGCAACAACATGCATAATACAATCAACAATGATGATTACAGTATCATGTGTAGTACGCTGTGTGGACAGTCGTTCTCGTTTCGATGTAGACCTGACAGACCATAAATTTTAAATAATTTTTATATTACCCAATTTCAGTGAATCCCTTAAAGTTTCCAGGGGGTATATCTCCCTCTGTTGTCAGAAGCCAAAAAGAAAAAGAAAAACATTTAAATTGTCTAAAACACTTTAGTTTTTCTATTTTCTAATGTTTTTTTTTTCTGTAACACTCCGTTTTTATTAAGATCCTAATACTACTCCAGTCTCCAGTGACCGTTATGGTTTGTCTATCTTTTATACATGTATAGTACAATTCTTTTAAAAGTTCCTCAATATGGCCGACCTAGTTACGAAAATTGGTAATTTTTTTTAATGAAAAATAAGTTGGCGTTAGCTAATTCAGAAATTGATTTATTCTTTGGTTAACAATAACATTTTTCAGGATTGTCAAGTTGACGTTAAAGTTAGGTTATTAGGTGGTTGTCATAAATCACAAATAAATAAAAACATAGATTATTGAAATTATTTAATAAGAATAAAGGTATTTTACCGCAGATCCGAAGAGATTTTACTTAAAAGGTATTTTATAAACGTTCTCACTGAGAATATTAACTCCCCTGTTTTTTATATTTTAGTTAAAAGGACGTAAGAACTATAGGAAGTGAATTTTTGTTTTCATGTTTTGACGATATCTGAGAGTTCCTAGAATTATCAAGATTATTGAACAATTATAGTTGTTTAATAAGTGAAATTAATAGAAGACTTGGAAATAAGATGATGCGTTTCATGTTATAATTGATAGATCACCCCATTTCTCTTAATTTATGTTTTTATTTCAGTACAGTTAATAACAAATTGAATTGAAGTGTGCAAAAACAGCTATATATTTTCAAACATCTTATTTAAATAGTTCTTTTATATACTGTTAAACTGTATCAACTACAAAGTCTTTAGTAAAAAGTTATAAGGTAATAAATTTTGTAGATATAATAATTTATAAAAATTTATATATAAAGATTTTGAATATCTTCCAGCCTATTCCTCAGTTCTTGTTCGGTAAAAAGATTACTTATAACTATATAATTAGTACTGCAGGCTGCAGGTTAAATAAAAGAGCAAAATCAAGTAGAATTTGTGAATAAAAACTTAAAAAATGATGAAATTATTTAGAAAAAGGAATCGTAAACGTCAGTCAGCCAAGTGTCAGAGTTCAATTAGATTTACCACAGATTATCAATTTGAACGATTTGAACTACAATCGATTCCAGTCTAGAGATTTTCGTTTTTTAAGCCTCCCATACTGAAGTCCGCGATATTGGGAAGTTTTAAATGAATACGGGGATAACCCTTTGTAGCTACACTATAGCAATTAATTTTTAGCCGAATCCAATAAACGTGCATTTTATATTTCAGTTGCCATATTAAAGCCAAACTCTTCCCGCCCAGCAAATTCGGAGAGATACTTTATTTGTCAAAAATTGAAGGATAATACATATACAAATAGTATAAGAGAATATCTTTGGAGAGTTGCATTAAGATTATGGGAACTGAAGGATAAACCAGATAGAGAAATTCTGGAAATTGTACCATTACATATTTTAGAAGGGGACGTAATCTTTAAGTCATATATTGTTAAAAGTAATAATTTGTAGGTTTTCTATGTTTACTTTTCCAATTCGAGTAACGAATGTAATGTCATTTCAGAATAGGAAGTAAACAAATAATTGCCCTCAAGAAACTTGCTCAGTTTTGTAGAAATCCTCAACTAATCGATCTCAGACAAAATGAATTAAGAATACAATGTTTAAAATATTGGAAAATTCCAGATGAGAAGAAAAAGAGTAATAGTTTTTTGAAAATTGATGAAATCCTTCTTGGCCTGCATTGTACACCTGGTAAGACTTATGATTACTGCGCAAATGATTGTGGTGAAGTCTGGAAATTTGGATTATTAGATAAAGTCACCTGCTCTATCTACTTGCATTTTTTAAGTCATAGGCTTACTGCTGCATTTAAAAAGTAAGTAGCATCTTTGTTATTTTAAAAGAAATAATAGGCATATTATTACATTTTTGGAAGCATATTCTCATATCTCATAATTTTCTCTTATATTATCCTATACCTATCTCTAAAAGTTTATGAGATAAAAAACAAAATTTGTAAAATTGATAAAAGCATGATCCTGAATAAGCATTGGTAAAATCATGAATTGAGCATATTTAAAGTTAAATAGAAACACTAAATCACCACAATACACCAAAACACTTTTACTTTTACACTGGACGCGCGTTTCGCTAACCATGTTAGCATCATCAGCAGATGATTATAAACTAAAATACAATCTACAAGTTGAGCGTTTATATACTCGCTCAGTGGGCACCGAGTGGGCGTGGCAAGATCTAGCCAACCGAGTCAGAGCCCACCGTGCGTAACAGTTAAATTTCCGCCGCTAGAGTAGTAGGAACAAAGAACTTGAAGGAATTGGACCGTTGTCTCTGTTCATACTATCTTTACATTTATTAATTATGATGCTTTCATATGCATCTAATTGCCTGTAATTTGAGACTTGTTTAATTAATTTTAAATTATTAAGATCTATACAATGTTCTTTATCAACAATATATTCGGCAACGCAAGATTTATCCGGTCTATCATATCTTATCTGAGCTAAATGTTCTTTAAATCTAGTTAATATTAATCTTCCAGTTTGCCTAACAGATTTCTGATTACAATCTTTATAAGAAATTTCATAAATACCCGACCTTTCCAGTGGAGGTGTTTTATCCTTTGGATTACCTAATAATTGTTGTAATTTATTATTAGCACTATACACAAGTTTATAATTGACATTCTTAAAAATTCCTTTTAGACCACGGGATAACTCTCTATCAAACGGTATTGAAAAGTATTTTGACGTATCTTTCTCCACTTGAAAAGTCGAATTTTCAGAAATCATTTTTCAGGAATCATAATAATAATAAATTACAACAATTATTAGGTAATCCAAAGGATAAAACACCTCCACTGGAAAGGTCGGGTATTTATGAAATTTCTTATAAAGATTGTAATCAGAAATATGTTGGGCAAACTGGAAGATCAATATTAACTAGATTTAAAGAACATTTAGCTCAGATAAGATATGGTAGACCGGATAAATCTTGCGTTGCCGAACATATTGTTGATAAAGAACATTGTATAGATCTTAATAATTTAAAATTAATTAAACAAGTCTCAAATTACAGGCAATTAGATGCATATGAAAGCATCATAATTAATAAATGTAAAGATAGTATGAACAGAGACAACGGTCCAATTCCTTCAAAGTTTATTACCTATCCCTACATATCCCTGTCTACACACGTAAAAACAGGCAACACTGTATGCCGCTTTTAATTTTGTCTCTCTGTCTTGTCAACCGGTCGTTTATATTTATCTCTGTCGCATGCATTAAAATACAGACCACGGACATAAAATATCCAGGACCGTATACCGATTTGGTCATCGAAACTGTGCGGTCTGGATTTTAACGTGTAAAGCTTGATTTTCATGCATTCGTTATACGTTGATACGATGGTCCGACGGTGCTCTGATTGGTCATAGCGTTTTCGCGCCACTTTTCATTCGTAAATATTTTACTTCAGCTCGTCAACGGACCCGTTCATACGATAACGGACGTTTTGACAAATTTAATCTAACCTTAATAAAAATATAAGTAAAATAGCAAAATCGTTATGGAAACGAAAACATAAAGTGACACCAACGTATATCCGATAAACAGAGGCATGAAAATGCAATAAATTTAAAAACTGCTTTATTTTCTAATCAATCAAAGTCTTTAAATTTTACCAATAAAATTAATATCGTATCAACGTATCGTCGGACAACGGATGCATGCTGCATGTGCTGCCCACATTATCTAAGATCATTGAAAGATTGGTTAAAAAAAGGTTTCTATCTTTTCTCCTTAAATATAAAATACTTACTACCCATCAATTTGGATTTCTAAGTAACAGTTGCACAAATGATGCTATGTTCGACCTTTTTAATAATGTATACTCTAGCCTGAATAACCATCACTCTACAGCTACAATTTTCTGTGATTTCTCTAAGGCTTTCGATTGTGTAAATCATAATATCTTAATTAACAAATTGCAATACTATGGTTTCAGGGGAGTGCCGCTCGAATGGCTTAAGTCATATCTTGGCAACAGAGGGCAGCTTGTGAGAATTGATACGTCTATGTCTTCTTGTAAGCCTATAGAATGTGGTGTCCCTCAGGGTTCAGTACTTGGCCCTATTTTGTTTCTGGTGTTTATCAGCGACATTGCAAATCTAGACATTAGCGGTAAAATCTGCCTCTTTGCGGACGATACTAGTTTCACTTGGAGCGGCCCAGATGTTGCGGCGCTATATGATACTATATCCAATGACTTACGCACCATTAAGTCTTGGTGCGATTCTAATCTCCTATGCCTCAACCTATCAAAAACTAAAGTTTTGTCATATAAAAGTACTATAAACCTTTTGTACTTAATAACACTACTATTGACGTCGTGGACTCTGTGAAATTCTTAGGACTTCTTGTAGACAACTCGTTAAAATGGGACTCTCACATTGAAGCTCTATCAAAGAAACTAAGCGCTGCCTGTTTTGCGCTAAGATCAGTTTCTAAGGAACTTAACTTCTCAACCTCTAGAATAGCCTATTATGCCCTTTTTGAGTCACATCTTCGTTATGCCCTTCCATTCTGGGGTACTTGCTGCGCAACAAAATTTGATCGTGTTTTCATACTTCAAAAGAGAGCAGTTCGATATTTATTGGGACTGAACAGTAGAACTCACTGCCAGAATTTCTTTAAAAATTTGAAAATACTGACTCTTCCTTCTTTATTCATTTTTGAATCCGTTTGCTTAATCCGCAAGCACATATCTGCTATTCCCGAAAGGCCATCTCATAACTATCCACTTAGGAATGCAGAGCACGATCTTTATCTGCCAACCCCGAGCTCAGAACTAGTTAAGGGTTCAATACTGTACAATGCCAAAAAAATGTACAATCATCTGCCTTTGAATATCAAATCGCTTTCATTCTTTCCCGCATTTCGCAAGGCTCTAAAATCATACCTACTGGAGAGAGCCCTATATGCGGTAAACGACTTTTTGTTGATGTTTAATTATGAACAATTTTGAATTTTAAAATTTTTATCATCTCACACACTGGTCAAAGGTCAAGTATTTAATATTCTATAACTTTAAAATTATATCTATTTACTGCGTACTGTTCTAAAATTGTCCATGTATATTCTTTTTGTAATTTTAAAGACTTAAATTTTTTTGAATTGTATTATTTGTATTGTGTATTTTTTGTTGTTTGTATTTTTTGTGATTTTGTTGTTTGTGAGTGCTTTGTCGATGAAGCTGTTTTGGCTTTTTGTACAATAAAGCGTTGTTTGTTGTTGTTAAGACAGTGATGTAGACAGCTTAATGGAAAATCAAATGTATTAAAATGAGATAAAAATAGAGTCGACACATTTATTCTATGCGGCATTGCCGTATTTTGCATCAAAATTTCAAACCGCACAAGTAGGCGTTTACGAAAAATGTTTTTGGAACTTTATTTTTCACTATTAGTTACTCATTTTACTACAGCTGTAATAGATTAAATTTGGTTTAGATATATGTATTATCATCATTTCAGTAGAGTATACATTAAAGGTTTTAAAATAGCTTATATTTTTTACACACATTTTCCTACAAACGTAAAAAACCGGTAACACTGTATGCCGCTTTTGTCTCTCTGCCTGTCAACCAATCATTCATATTATTCTCTGCCACGCTCATTAAAATCCAGACCACATAAATTGGATGACCAGCAGCGAGTATTACCACAGATAGGTATCCTATAAGTATACAGATAAAAATCTTGTCCCTAATTCGTGGTACGAAAGTTGTTTTTTATGACGATGTGCAAACGAGTCAAATTTCCTGTGCGCAAAAATAAACTCCCGTAAAATAACAATAAACAGCGTAATAGAGAGATGTCGCTAAACCGAATAGCGTGCATGGACGTTAATAAGGCCGGGTGTTATTTCCTTTACGTGAGGTGGTATTAACTCTCTTCATTTATAGTTATCGGATCGGAAAGAATTCTGATCGCGTCGCGTCCGCTATTTAAACTTAACCTAACTTTGAATTTAAAATTGTTTTGTTTACTAGGTATTTTAAAACTAAAGGGCTAAAGTACTTATTTCCAGTGTTTTATTGTTCAACGTCTGCCAGTGGGTTTAGGGCAACAAGCAACAAATTCTCTTAGAAGGGCTAAGTCGTCATCTGCTGTAAACCTAAGACTCTTTATAGTTCTTTAGTATTGGAAGAGATGGAATCCATATTTTGGGCCATATTTATTTAATTAAAACTAATCCCAGCTGCTTAAATATCAAATTACCTAATAAAACTAAAGCAATAATTCAAAACAATTCAAACATAACCTAAAATAAAAGATCTCGCCGGCCGGCTCCGGTTGTCAAATACCCGCACATGCCCATTTAAGCAATTTCTAAACGTTATCAGAGGTTATTTAGAAAGAGCGCTTGGTGTAACTGATCCGCAAATTACGTCAGGCGGTAACGTTATTAGCGGGTGTTGCGTTAAAAATTGACTCGCGCATATCGTAACCATGATAAGGTACGCGTAAATATTGGATGACGCTATTCGGTTTTCCGATATCTCTCTAATAACTGTGCCGGTCAGGCGCTGTGCACAATTTTAGAGGCTATAAGTGGGCGTGCTATGTGCGCAAACTAGTAACCCAATAAGGCTTATCAAGATCATGTTTTGTCAGTTTAACATGTGTTTTATTTTTTATCTCGAAAACTGGTAGAGATAAGTCTACTACTATAATAGAAAAATAATTATGAGATATGAAAATATGCTTCCAAAAATGTAATAATATACCGGGTATTAAAATAATGACGATGCTACCACTTCTCAAATGAAAAGGGAACACTGTAACGCTGAAAATAATTTAGATAGATGGAGTAGGCACTAATCGACTTGGAGATAGATCGATAGATAGAGTACCTTCAAATCGAAATTTAAAAAAAATCACCACTTATCCATTAACGTCAAATACCTACCATCGCTGTGAATTGTCCTGTATGTATTTTATTACAATAATTAAAAAATCAACAATATTGTTTATCATTACACTCCAAGAACGGTAAACTAATAGGATTGCTCATCCTCATAAGACGTACGTTCGCCTCTTCCCGCGCTTCAGCTGACAGTTGTGACGTCATTGTAGTCCTTGTCAAAGCCTTCGTGGCCTTGTCATGATAGTTTGTATTATTAGTTGCCTATGGTAAACTTATAAAAATAACAGCTGAGAAATTTTGAGTTAATTATTTTGTCAATTTTAAATGTGAAAAAGGTGTCTTTAAAGTTTTTAGAGCTATAGAGTGTATAAATACGTTCATTTTGTATTGTGAATTGTGACAAAGTGCATACTAAGTGCCCACGATTTTGTTTATTAATTATTTTAAAGCAAAATATGGAAGTACTCTAAAAAGAATGCTTGCAAAAGGTGACGCTGGGACCTGCTGTTCATAAAAATGCATTATCCGAGTATTTAATACGATTTATACAGTTAATTTTCTATACTGCATACATATAAGGTGTTTAAATAAATAAACTAAATAATGAACGTTTTGCATTCGGTAACCAATAATGCACGTGTGTGTATTATTGGTTGCCGGATAAGGACTAATAACCATGACAAGGGCTACAATGACGTCACAAAGCGAGTAGTTTTCGCATGCACCTGGCGGACACTTTTGGCTGAATGAGCAGTCCTATTAGGTTAACTGTTCTTGATTACACTCAATACTATAATCTTCATCGTATTTTAGATTTGGTAACTGTTCCACCGAGATGTATAAAGGCATTCTCAAAATTAAATCTTTTTGTTACCCATGAAAACGTTTGGAAGTATTGTTACTTAATCAGCTCTGCACATCAAAACAGGTGTCATTTTTTTGTTGGTAAGAATTTCTTTCACGTGTTAAGATGAACAAAATGAAATACGTTTAGTTTTTTTTAAAGATCTTTTTAAAAGGATTATTTTTCTTTAACTATAGCAACTGGGAACTCGCACGTCTTCAGACTACAAAATGGCAAATGGATGAAAGTGAAACATTTGGAATTGATTCCTGGTACATTACTATATGGTGAATTTGTACAAGAAAAAGTTGTTATGGATTCCAAAACAATTAACTACCGATATAGTTTACATGTAATCGACGCTGCCTTCTTAGGCTCTAAAAATTTACAAACGTGTAATTTTGAAGAAAGGTAATCAATCGTAATATTAAACTGTAAACAAAATGCGTCTTGTATGTAATAAGTGCGATATAAATATTTTATATCGCACATTCTAAGTTTTTTTACGCACATTCTTAGCTTTAAGACCATTTGACATATTCCTTAACTAGACGAACTTAACTTTAAATAGAACTATACTTCAGCTTAAGCATAACTTTGAGGGTTCCGGATTTCTTTACGTGAAATGCTCTTTACATTAGAGATGAGCAAAACTGCGATTGTGATTTATAAATCGCTGCGACTGTAACCTGCGATTGTGATTTGGATATTTTTAAATTGGTACGCTGTAAACTGGGAAGCTCAATCCCAAAATTTCTAATAAAAAACAGAATAAATAGCGGAATAATTTTTTTTTAATAAAAACTTACAAAGAAACTGTTGGGTGTTTCGATGCTATGTGCCTTTTAAAATTTGTAGTGCGTGTTTTTTATGATATTTTTGCTGCACACATATTGCACTTAAGATTTTCATCAATTACCTACCAAAAAAAATCCACAGATAACTTAGTTTCCTTTTTTTAAACATTTTTGTTTAGAACAGACCGAATAAATTTAAAAGGGAAATTAAAAATATAGTCTGTGAAACGAATAACTTTGAATTTGACAGTTCCCGCGGGCTTTTCTAGTGTAAATTTTATTAGGTTAGCAACTTGCGGCCATGCTGATGCAATGCCGTCTCTAATAGAACAGCCTCGGAGCGAGATTTATGACGTCACGCCAATTAGATACTACGGATTAATTATGTTGTAGAATACACGGAAAACATAATTATTCCTCGTATATGTAATTTTTTGGATTATATTCGACACTATTTTTTTCATATGTCACAACACTGATGAAGGCTATAAACGTTTGCTATAACGTTTTTTTAACCAAAAAAATATAATGAAAAACCAAATGAAAACTTAATCAGCGTTTTTCCCGAACCTAAATCCCAAGAAAATCAAAAATTTTAGAATAATTTTAGCCATAGCCATCGCTGACGCCTTTTTTTCTATGATATTGTATTATTTGCAAATATGATTTTTCGAACATTAATGCTAGCAAAATATACATATAAATTTTGTGAATGCAAATAATATATCACTATTAGTAGATATTGAATGTTTTTTGTTAAATTACATCGATTTTCAAACCCCAAAATTTAAAATATATTTTACATTTTACCCATTATCTTATGTACCTATTCATTATTTGTATATTGTAAAACATTTGCTGCATTTGTATGGTTCATAGTTTATTTGCCAAAGTATTTATTACTATAAATAGGTGTATATATTGTATTTATTAACTGTATATTATGTATATTTCATGTAAACTATATCATTTTTAAAATACAAACCAAAAATACGAGGAATAATTATGTACAACATACTTATTAATCCGTGGTATCTAACTAGCGTGACGTTATAAATCTGCCCGAGGCTGTTCTATTAGAGACGGCATTGGTCTGATATTCAGAAATGACAAAAGCTGATGACATTTTACTTTTGTCAATTATGACATTTCGTGTTGATTTTTGCAAGAAGAGGAAGAACTGTTACTTGTTTTATTATATTTTCCTTTTCTATTTCACGAAAGTAAAAAGAGTTACCTATCTGATTCGTTCAGGCACTCAATTTAAAGAATATCAGTAACTTTGGATAGAGGGATTTTATATTTGCCATGTTGGTATAAAATAACGGTCAAAATTCAAAGTTATTCATTTTATAGACTATACATAAAATGTTCAAAATATTCGAATGTGCTTTTTAGACAGTAGGGTAAAATTTATTATAAAACAGGTTGCCGCCAACCTTAATTCAGATAACTAGAAAAAACTGTTTATTTTATCTTGTTTTCTTTTAAAAACATTTTCTTTATATGTAACTCAAAAGAAGCCGACGCCGACGGCTTTGATACGGCCCGTCCAGTGCAAGTGCAAACTTTCGAACTTTTAGATAAGTAAAGGACAATATCACATTTTATTATATTTGAAATTTCTCTAAAATGAAAAAAACTGATTGTAAAGGATGTATTTAAATTAACATAGCAGCCGATCCACAACTGTTGTATATTCAGAAAATTATATTATATTATGGATTGTTATAAAAATGTTTATAATAATATAATATATAACAAAATATAATAAATAAAAAGGGCTGTTTCTTTTCCGTGCTCTATATCTTCTAGTAAATAAAGGATAAAAATAGATAATTTTTTATAATTTGAATCCAGAACTGTCCTTATGAATCATTTTACCTGAATCATTACCTGGGAGCAACTGTAACTATAATTAGTCATAACCGAAAACAAGAATTTTTTAACCTTCTCGATCCATAATTATATTATAAATCTAAAACTATTATCAAAATTTAAAACTAATAAATTATATATATATATATATATATATATATATATATATATATATATATATATATATATATATATATATATATATATATATATATATATATATATATATATATATATATATATATATTATGCGGTATATAAACATATATAAGCCTATTTTCCAACGCTTCATAAAAATTACGGGGCCCTGATTGCGAATGTGATTTTGCGATCTAGTCTAGGCCGATGTGTTGGGAGCTGCGAACGAAAATCGCAATGCTGTGATTTTCGTTCGCAGCTCTTCGTTCGCGTGCCCACTGCGATTGCAAATCGCAACTGGTGTAATATTGGTTGCCTAAAAATCCAAAATCGGCAGATATATGTTTCAATCGCAAGTCGCAGTTTGCTATAAGGAATAAAGGAATCACAGGTTGCGATTGCGAATTTACAATCGCTGCGATTAAATCGCAGTTTGCGATTTTCTGCTCATCTCTACTTTACATGACAAAACCCACTGCTCAATATGCTGGATTTATTAAGGATTTGTGGGATTGCTGTTTTTTGGCAAATGTTATCTAAAATAGTATGAACTGTAAAGGTGCACTCTCACGACTCGTCTACTTGACAAGTACGCCAATATTTGCGTACTTGGCAAGTATCTCCACCAGTCCGCAACTGGTAAACAATCGGCAAGTGTGGCGCTCACACGACGTGTCCATTGCACAAGTACGCCAGCACACGCATTGTTTAAATTTAACTCCTTGGCAAGTAAACAGTATAGTCGCATCGATGGATACCGGTCCTCCCGAAATTGTTGCTAGTGATTCTTTTTAAGTTCTTTTTCTGTACACTGCAATACGATTTTTATGTTCTTTATGTTTGGCCATCCATATGAAGGGCTCATTTTCGTATAAATCCATAAATTGCAAAACAACATCATTTGAAGACTACACGGGATACCCCAGTTTTGTCCATTTTAATTGGAGCCGAGGAAAATGCAATCTAGTGTTTTTAAAGAAATTGGTTATTTTCGGTTAAATAATTAGAAAAATTTTAAATCAACAAGATCAATGACTTTTGCACAATCTTCGACACTAAGAACCATATTCAATCGTACACAACAATAATCACCACAGCCACCTCGTCATTATGAAAAATAGCATCAAAAAGTAATGATAATTGAAAAAAAAATGCAAAATGTTTATGGCAATTTCATTTTGCTCTTAAAAATTGAAATTGATGAAGAAACGAAAATAAAAGATGGAAAATAAAAGGAGCAAACGGGAGCCCAAAGACCCAATTTGCAGCCAAGAACCAGAGTCGCCCAGGATTGTGGGCTTCGTCCAGAACAGCCGCGGAGGTAATCAACAGCAACCCGCCGCAATACCCTAGCCGTGGTACCAATATGAAAAAAAAAAAAGAAATAGTGAGGGAAATGTATAAAAAAGAGAAGAAAAAAGATCAGCCCTCAACAACTCGTAATCGTATACACCAGTGTACACAAGTGCAGACTCGCACACTCACACTCACACAACCACACCTACACTAGTGCACACTGATGTAACTGCCTTCAGGCTTCATCAGTACGGTAAGGAATCAGGAAGCGAAGAAACCGATCCCAAAAACAAAAAAAACAGGAAGCAAACGATGCAACGAGGCACCGTGTGCAACCCAGGAGATGGAAAAAAAAATTGATGAAGAAACGAAAATAAAGACTAAGGGTATAGCGGCGGGTTGCTGTTGGCTACCTCCGCGGCTGTTCTGGACGAAGCCCACAATCCTGGGCGACTCTGGTTCTTGGCTGCAAATTGGGGCTTTAGGCTCCCGTTTGCTCCTTTTATTTTCCATCTTTTATTTTCGTTTCTTCATCAATTTTTTTTTCATCTCCTGGGTTGCACACGGTGCCTCGTTGCATAGTTTGCTTCCTGTTTTTTTTTTGTGTTTTGGGATCGGTTTCTTCGCTTCCTGATTCCTTACCGTACTGATGAAGCCCGAAGGCAGTTATATCAGTGTGCACTAGTGTAGGTGTGGTTGTGTGAGTGTGAGTGTGCGAGTCTGCACTGGTGTACACTGGTGTATACGGTTACGAGTTGTTGAGGGCTGAGCCGTTTAATCTTTTTTCTTCTTTTTTATATATTTATATACAGTTTTCTAAAAAAATCATGGGAATAGAACTAAAAATAAAAAAAAATATAACATTATAAACTAGACCAAAATTTTTTCCGTTTTTTGTTGCATCTGAGTGTGTAACTAATTTCTTAATATGGTATATTTTTTAGATTTCAATTAATACAAATGTATTGCAAAGCAGTAAACAAAGAATCACAGTCCAAATACTGCGTCAGAGTAAGGCCAAAAGTATTAAAGGAGTTGTCGGATCTGTCGCAAGATATTACTAAAAATGGATTAGTAATTTCCGAGAATTATTTGCCAAGCATTGGCTATAAGTCCGAAACAGAAACCTGTGAAGTTAATTCTATCCTTCTCTTGAGAACTGACGAAAGTAAGATATTTGTTGATGCATAATGTTTACTTGGGGGTTTGTGACTATTTATTTTATTTAATAGTTACAGATGCCATAAGGGCATATTAAAAAATAAGTTATCCTATACACCTAACAACATACTGAAATACGACTATCTTGAATAAAAGTTCCCTTTGCGCATGTCAATAATAGGGTATTGTAAGAATTTTGTAGAAATATAGAGGTAGGGAGAACTAGCTTCGAAGAATGCGTATTTTAAAATGCCCTTAAGCCATGGTGGCCGCCATGTTCGCGTTTAGGTCCACAGCGGAGATAAATAAGTAATAATAACAGCTGATAACTTCTAATTTGTTGGAGTATAACTTCGTATTTCTTGTGTTTTTTTTTGAACTTATAGACTGACATAAACAGCTTTTCTATTCTTTTGAACTGTTTTTAATATTTTATATGTAAATAATTTAATAGTATTATACCGGGTGCGTCTCAAAAATAGCTTTATTTTATGAGATTTGGTGTGTTAGCATATGACATAAATTAGGATTGATTGACGTCCTGTTTCACCGGAATTGATGACAACTTTTGATTTTTAAATGGCACCCTGGTATATTTTTACTTTATTCGACAGAAAATGATACTCCGAGTCAAAGAATAACTACAGAACGATCAGTCAATGTAATAAAAAGCGAACAAAATTTTTGCTGCCATCATTGTTGGATGAGTGCGCTTCAGGGCTTCAAGGTCAAAATAATTTATTTTATTAAATAAAAAAGTCGTGCTGGCAGCACGCCTCGATCCGGCAACCTTCGTATTGCTAGATGAGAGCCATATCCCCTACACCACCGGATACCTATGTGAGAATTATATCTTTGTAGTAATAAATTGTGAATTCAGCCTTCTACAACGTATACAGGTTGTTAATTTGTTTATTACTCGCGGCAAGAGCTTTATGGTTGAAATATGGCAAGCTCGTCGATAGACGACGCGGCGGGACGAGTCGGCAGAAAACCCTATAAGTGCCTGCCTATAAGATGCCAGTCTGTTCCCCTATAAGTAACTGTCAAGTTAACAACCTGTATGTAAAATTTATCCTAAAGGCTGCTTTTACATTGAAAATTCATCTCGTTGCAGTTCATCACAGTTATATAGTTCAAGAAGCACTAAGAAATATGGCTACCTTTGAATAATATAATATGAAAAAGTTGGAGTCACAATACAAAGAAAGCACGAGAAATACAGTTTATATTAAAAACAAAATAAAGCCAGTTTAAAGATAGCTCGAAGCATAAAAAAGGAGTATTTGAAGTACTGTGTGCACGGAAGAGAGAAATCAATCGCAAAATTCATAAAATTAATTTAAAGACCGAGCCAATCGTAGCGGTTGAACTGTTCTGTAACCTATATATACACGACGTTCCATAAGTGTGACTGGGCCTTGCTCTGAATAGAATGACATATAACATGTCAACTTTTGACATTTTCGCTTATCGCAAAATTGTTAAAAACACTAAATTTTAATAAAGGAGCCTTGGAAAAATAGATTTGATCGTCTAATGATTTTCGTGTCTTGTTCCGGGCTCCGGTTAATCGATATTAGGAATTTTGGAGTTTCGTTCAGTGTCTGCCTAACAGAAGGACTTATGTGAAATATATACAGGGTGGCCCATCGAAAACGTTCCGCAAGGCATAACGGCCAGAGTATTTTTTTTCAGATAATTCAAAAACACGTCAATTTTGTTTGTGAGGGAGACAACTTTTGCCCCAAAAATGATTGCAAAATCTTCAACCCTCTAAGCGGGGGTGCCATCCCCCAACTTTTTTCAAATGGGAAAGGGGGTCAAGTGGCACCGCAATGAAAAGAGCCTTCTATTCTCTATATTTCCCCGCTTCGTTTTAGAAAATCGGTTGAGTCATTGAGAAAATATGAAGGATTGAAATTTGAAAAGTTTATTCAAACATTTATCAGAGTAAATGAGATATATATGAGATATATGAGGTCGAGGATAAATTCCTTCGACCAATTTGCTGTTTTTTTTTATTATTTCTAGATGTTTACGCATTTATTCACTTGCCACAAGGTTGAACGATCAGGTGCGGTAGTTGCTAGATAGCTGTTCTGTGCCTTGGACGTTGAAGTTCCTCTCTATGTTTAAATAAACTTTTCAAATTTCAATCCTTCATATTTTCTCAATGACTCAACCGATTTTCAAAAACGAAGCGGGGAAATATAGAGAATAGAAAGCTCTTTTCATTGCAGTATCACTTCAGCACCCTTCCCATTTGAAAAAAATTGAGGGATGACACCCCCGCTTAGAAGGTTAAAGATTTTGCAATCATTTTTGGTGCAAAAGTATAAAAAGTATAATATAGTCCCCCTTACAAACAAAATTGACGTGTTTTTGGATTTTTTGAAAAAAAGAATACCCCAGCCGTTATGCCTTGCAGAACGTTTTCGATGGGCCACCCTGTATGGACCGGTTATCTAGTTGTCTCTGACTCGGCTTCAACACCAACACATTGCCTATAGAGTTAATAGATATATAGAGTTAATAGATATATTGTCGCATGCATTAAAATACAGATGACGTTGATAAAGTGTCCAGGACGGTATACTATAATAGACTAATATTACACGATATTTTTAAGATTTCCTAAAAATTGCCGCCAAAAAACTTATATAATCACTAGTACTTTTTGATTCTCCCCCTATAACCTAAGCGCCATGCCGGCCACCATAGTTAGGACTTTGGCGCACGTTCATGTTCGTTCCTCGTTTCTATATCTCTGGACTTTTCACAATACTATTTGACATGTCGATATTGGCACTTTATAAATGGTTTATAAATTATCTCTACCATTTGGTTTAATAACGATTAATGGTTTCAAAGAAGTATATATTAACGTTCCGTTAACTACTCCATTTTCTAAATATTTATAATTTTTGTAAAACTACTTATACCAAAAAATATGTTGTGTATGAGCACAAGCGCATACTAAAAAATCTTTAAGATAAGTAAAAGGGCATGAACAGCAGCATATCCTTAAACTATTAAAGCTAAGTTCTTAGAACAAATGTTAAGGATAAGATTAAGGCTAATATCGAAAGTATGAGCCACAGATAAATGTTAGTTGAATGTATATATATTTTAACATGTATATTTTTTGTTTTAGGTCAATCATTTCAATCGACTTATGTTTCAAGGTTGCAAATATTAAACACCAAAGAAAACAAAACATTATTTGAAAAATTTTGTAGCAAAATTGAAAATAATATTTTAATGTAATTTACATTTATTTTTAATATACAAATAAAATAATTCGGCGTTTTACTGCACCAAGTAGATTATTCTTAAAAATATTATAATTTGTTAAAACGATAACAAGACAATAGTGCATTTCCACTAAGATTTATTATAGGTCAGTCACGTAAGATCTAAGGGTCCTTTGGAAAAACGTGTTGGAAAGGTAATTATCACCGCAACTATTGACATTTCCTCATGAATCACCCTCTCCAACGAGAGGATCCGTGACAGTTGTGTCTGTCATTTTAATTCACACGTAAATTGAATTTACTGTCAGTTTTTAAATATCGTCATCGAAATCTTCCCTGACCCGTTGGACGGACTTTAGAATCTTTGAAAAAAAATATATATAGTTTTATTAGTTTCCAGTATGGTTTGATTTGGTTTGTAACAGGGTTCGGAAGTAATTAAGATGTAATTTACCTGATTAACTACGTGTAATTTTTCTTCAAAAACTACTTCTTTTCCTATTCATTAACGACATGAAAACTACTTTAATATAGAAATTTTAAAACATTTTCCGATGCACGTCATCAACTTTGAGTGACAAGCGTTGGCGACAGCGCTGCCAGATTGTGACGGATTTATGAGATGAATCTTAATTTAAAAGTGACAAACAATATATTTAGTATATAATTTGAATTCCGTCCGTCGAGCTGCGAGGTTCGAGCGTTGCGTCCCAGCACAGAGACGAATTGGCAAAAAATGAGTGCCTTTCTGTGTGCTGCTATTAATTGTAGTAATAATTCAAAAAATTGTTCTTTGAGTTTTTTTAGATTTCCATCGGATGTAAATCGGTATGCTGATAGTAATTATAATTACTATCAGATAATTATCAATAAACATTTAATTATATTTGTTTATTTTAGAAGCTGAGATATTATGTACTTAATTAAATGTTATTATGTTTTTTAGCATGTGGGCAGATTTTAAAAATAGTTTTTTAGATATACAGGTCGTCTCAAATATGCGCATGAAAACATTTTTTGGTCAGGGGATTTGTCATAAAATTTTCATTCCAATAATAATTTACAAGATAATTTATATAGATTGGTTTTTGGAACAATTTTAGGAGTAAATATTTTGTACATCTAAAGTCTCCGCAAATTATTCATATTTTTTAATTGGAAGAATTTTATAATAGTATAATCTCTTATAAATTTAGTGGACTGTATTTTTTAAGTTTTTTTTGTATTTTATTTATTTTTTATTATAAGTGGTCGTAATATAACAATATTCAAAATATTATAGACAAAATATTGAGTTTATATTGGAGGGAAGAAAAGTGCCACACCTAGCTATAAACCACCGTAAATATACAGGGTGGCCCATTAGTGCGAGGAAGACCAATATCGTCATAGTGTCGAAGATGTGAAAAAAGTTTTATTCATATGTTTCAAGGTTTATAAAGGGGCGTATCCTAAAATATTTTGTTATATACAGGGTGTCACGATGTGACAAAATATGTCATTATATATTTTTTCCGCATTTCTTTCCATCAGAAGATTTTCAGATACAGAAAAATTGTTATCTACACGAAATGTGAAAATATTCTGTTTTCAAGCAAGTTTTTACTCGATGATCAATTTTTCTTATTTTATTTTATTGTGAACTCACATTTTCCTGAATACATATCTGTGAAACTATGGCGAGTGGCACGACTATACTTTGCCTAGTTAATAGACCACGACTATACAGTTACGTAAGTGGTTACGGGAGGCGAGAACAAGGTCATATAAAGTGGCAGAAAAAGAACAAAGGATTTGACAAGGAGTAAAGCTACTAGTTTCCTTATACTATGGTATTAAGAACTCAAAGTTGGCCAAATTAGGTTTTATGATTTTTTTTTGTTTTTTTTGCTAGTAATATTAATTATTAAAGAAGAGGGTGCTAATATGGAACCCCATTTTATTTTTCCTACACAATATTTTTTCCTCTACTCTGAAACCCTTTCCACCGATCAAATAGGGTCATTCTGTGCAAAACCAAGCAATTGGATGAGGCTGCTAGAACAAGAAAGTAATTTGTATATTATAGACGATATTTGAGTGAGGATGGGTGTTATAGAGTAAATACTATTTTCTTTAAGAATCTATTTAAATCAATGTTTTTTGCAGTGGCAAATATTGGCAAGATTTTTGTACATATTCCAAAGCTGGAGACTTTAAGAATTGAACGGATACTGATTTCCATGCGGAATATTGCCGAATAGTCTTACACCTTATAAAAATGCCTCTGATTTTTTAAATATAAAACATTATAAAGAAATAGAGAATAAGGAAACGTTTCAAAATAAAAATATGCATAAAACAGAACTATGCCAGCTGGCTCTGTATCCATCATGAAAGTTATTATAAACAATTTCCAAAAAAGCACTACAAACTACAAACAATTCCACTATTTTATAATCTTAGAAATATTCAGAATGCACTCAAGATAATTCACACTCATAACTGAAATATATTATTTGATAGTCAATTTACGACTTAAAAAAAGCTAATAAACGTGTTTACATTTAGTATTTATAGATTTGTATTCAGTTAAGATAAAAAATGAAAATAAAAAATATCACTTTTGACCAGGTTTATAGACCAAATAACCCTATGTGCGGCGCCGGCGTTTGAATATGGAAAACACACCTATTTGGGACAACCTCAAAGGAATAAAAAGCCTCTCTTCAAGAAGAATAGGTTGCTTACGTAGTATTGCATCAATTTTTGAATAACCTATATTCCACTTTTTCAAAAATATACAGGGTCCGGCAATAGTGCGTCGGACATCTGTAGCTCCTAGAATAAAAAAACTTGGGAATTTTGTTTAAGTGTAAACCTAAATTATGTATGCGAATGTATTTCAGGAAAATATTTTAACTTCTATATACAGGGTGTCCCAGAAATGAGTGCAGATATTTTAAGAGGTGGTAGATCTGGTCAAAATAAAAAATAAAAAAAAAATTTTCTCTTTACCATTTTTAAAATAAATTGAAAATAACTGAGTTATTTAACTTCTTGAAATTTTAAAAATTTAAACATTTTGCAACATTTTGAGAACTGCTGGCAGATATTGCCAACTAAATCCAATTACCCGGATCAAGTTATTACTATAAATAGGTGTATATATTGTATTTATTAACTGTATATTATGTATATTTCATGTAAACTATATCATTTTTAAAATACAAACCAAAAATACGAGGAATAATTATGTACAACATACTTATTAATCCGTGGTATCTAACTAGCGTGACGTTATAAATCTCGCTCCGAGGCTGTTCTATTAGAGACGGCATTGGTCTGATATTCAGAAATGACAAAAGCTGATGACATTTTACTTTTGTCAATTATGACATTTCGTGTTGATTTTTGCAAGAAGAGGAAGAACTGTTACTTGTTTTATTATATTTTCCTTTTCTATTTCACGAAAGTAAAAAGAGTTACCTATCTGATTCGTTCAGGCACTCAATTTAAAGAATATCAGTAACTTTGGATAGAGGGATTTTATATTTGCCATGTTGGTATAAAATAACGGTCAAAATTCAAAGTTATTCATTTTATAGACTATACATAAAATGTTCAAAATATTCGAATGTGCTTTTAGACAGTAGGGTAAAATTTATTATAAAACAGGTTGCCGCCAACCTTAATTCAGATAACTAGAAAAAAACTGTTTATTTTATCTTGTTTTCTTTTAAAAACATTTTCTTTATATGTAACTCAAAAGAAGCCGACGCCGACGGCTTTGATACGGCCCGTCCAGTGCAAGTGCAAACTTTCGAACTTTTAGATAAGTAAAAGGACAATATCACATTTTATTATATTTGAAATTTCTCTAAAATGAAAAAACTGATTGTAAAGGATGTATTTAAATTAACATAGCAGCCGATCCACAACTGTTGTATATTCAGAAAATTATATTATATTATGGATTGTTATAAAAATGTTTATAATAATATAATATATAACAAAATATAATAAATAAAAAGGGCTGTTTCTTTTCCGTGCTCTATATCTTCTAGTAAATAAAGGATAAAAATAGATAATTTTTTATAATTTGAATCCAGAACTGTCCTTATGAATCATTTTACCTGAATCATTACCTGGGAGCAACTGTAACTAAAATTAGTCATAACCGAAAACAAGAATTTTTTTAACCTTCTCGATCCATAATTATATTATAAATCTAAAACTATTTATCTAAAAATTAATTTAATAATATATATATATATATATATATATATATATATATATATATATATATATATATATATATATATATATATATATATATATATATATATATATATATATATATATATATATATTATGCGGTATATAAACATATATAAGCCTATTTTCCAACGCTTCATAAAAATTACGGGGCCCTGATTGCGAATGTGATTTTGCGATCTAGTCTAGGCCGATGTGTTGGGAGCTGCGAACGAAAATCGCAATGCTGTGATTTTCGTTCGCAGCTCTTCGTTCGCGTGCCCACTGCGATTGCAAATCGCAACTGGTGTAATATTGGTTGCCTAAAAATCCAAAATCGGCAGATATATGTTTCAATCGCAAGTCGCAGTTTGCTATAAGGAATAAAGGAATCACAGGTTGCGATTGCGAATTTACAATCGCTGCGATTAAATCGCAGTTTGCGATTTTCTGCTCATCTCTACTTTACATGACAAAACCCACTGCTCAATATGCTGGATTTATTAAGGATTTGTGGGATTGCTGTTTTTGGCAAATGTTATCTAAAATAGTATGAACTGTAAAGGTGCACTCTCACGACTCGTCTACTTGACAAGTACGCCAATATTTGCGTACTTGGCAAGTATCTCCACCAGTCCGCAACTGGTAAACAATCGGCAAGTGTGGCGCTCACACGACGTGTCCATTGCACAAGTACGCCAGCACACGCATTGTTTAAATTTAACTCCTTGGCAAGTAAACAGTATAGTCGCATCGATGGATACCGGTCCTCCCAGAAATTGTTGCTAGTGATTCTTTTAAGTTCTTTTT